GCATCTCTATACGTTCGAGAAAGACTTGCAAGTTGTCAGTTGCTCTGTCAACAGTGAGAGAACTTTGCTTGGTAAGTTGAACTCTTTTAATGCTACATGTCAAGAATTAAATTACATTTTTTTGAGTTTCAAAGTATTGAATTTTTACAATATTTGATTAGTGTATTACAATGATTTTCTCTGAAGAGAAGCTCTTAGGGGATTAGATGTGAAATAAAGAATCTGTTGAGTCTGCTTACAAAAAAAGATTGCCTGGTATTCCTCCTTAATCATGCCTGACAGATGCTTTGAGCCCTCACTTAATTCACATAGCAAATAGTAAACTTGAACAAGCCACTGCATGAATCATTTGCTAATGACTTATTTTTTTTTCCCATTAGCTGCAAGTTTAGTTCAATCTACTAAAGAAGGAAGAAAGAATGAGCTTCAACCAGGTAATGAAATTATACTTTCTAGTGCTTACTGATAGATGAAGATTTATTGAACGACTTAGTCCAATTTCAGGCATCTTTACAAATAGCTTTACCTCAGAATGAAAAGGTAAAGGTCAAGCATGTCAAAGAGTTTAAATTATTTTTCAAGTAAACAAGTAAGTACAGAAAATATTATAACAGTAAACGGCAGAAGTATAAAAAGGCAATTAGCACCTGCAAAGTACACATTGAGAACATATTAGAACCCCATGGTCAGGAGCTGATGTAAAGGGTAAAAGTTTGGTATTTCTTTAACAATACCATTTACAAAAAAATATCTGGTTAACTGTTGACCAATGCATAATGCAATATGAGTAGTCCATCAATTCTAAATATAAAATCAATTCTACACATTTGCCAAGGCCCACTTCATAGTTTGTTATCTATGTGATGCCCCCCTGCCATCCTTTTAACATTTTGTAATATCCATCTCTCTGCTCAGAACCCAATAAATATTGCATGCCTGCAGTGGGTCAGGCACTCTGCATTCTGCTAGGGATACAGTGGTTTGCAAAGAGGTGTGGCAATTGCCCTGAGGGTGAATTACAGGGACTAGTGGTGGGTGGGGATGCCCCATTGAGTATCTTCGAAGGAAGCCCAGTGGGATCAGCTTTTCAGTTTATCAAGACAATTATGGTCCTGGCTGAGTGGCTCAGTTGTTTGAAGCATCGTCCCGTACATCAAAGGGTTGTGGGTTCGATTCCTGGTCAGGGCACATACCTGGGTTTCAGGTTCGATCCCTGGTTGGGGCATGTGTGGAGACAATCGATTGATGTTTCTTTCTCTCTCCCTTCCTTTCTCTCTAAAAGTCAATTAAAACATATCATCAGGTGAGGATTTTCTTTTTGAAAAAGACAACTATGGATGTTGATGCAAACATTTTACTTTTACATGTTGGCTCAAATATTTTTAAAAAATTATCCTCGGGCAATGATAACCACCCGTGGCTGGATCTAGCCTGTGGACTCCCATTTTTCAACCTCTGGCCTAGTGGATCTCACTTCAATCTCTTGCTATTCCAATCCTGCAGTGTGTTCCATCTGCTCTGTTTATTCGGCACTTAAACTCCTTCTTTTGTTAGCATAGTTCCCACTCGGATGTATCCACCTGCAGTTGCATGTAATGGAAAAACCCTGTTACATACTTCCCACACGAGGCTTAGGAGGCAGTCCTGGGCTCCCACAGAGCCAGCTTAGAGAGACTCAAGTCTGGGTAGGTCCTTCTCATCCTCAGCAGAAGAGTTTCTGGGAGATGTTGGTGAGCGGGATGCAATGTCTGAAATCTCATGTATTACTCACCCAGCCTTCCCTCCTGCCACGTTACACCGAGAACCACAGCAGTCCTCTTCCCTCTTCTGTGCCCTGTCCTGCTCTTAGCATTCTCTGCTCTTCTTAGAATCAGGTGCAGTGCTCACATCAGAGGTAATGGAACTGGATGAGCTTAAGCGAAATAGGATCTAAGATGTTGGTGTCCTGACCTTTAAAACAAGGGTATGAACAAAATCAGGATATGACCCTGATTTCCTGGGAGAATACATCCCTTTACCAAGGAGAGACAGGCCCAGTTGCTTGTATTCTTCCCAATCACAAGGCTGGATTAGGTCCCTGCCCCTCCTAGTTATTTTCTATTTTGTGAGAATATTTTTTCCATTGATTTTTAGGGAGGAGGAGGGGGAAGAAAGAGGGAGGGAGGGAGTGAGAGAGAGAGAGAGAGAGAGAGAGAGAGAGAAACATTGATGAGAGAGAGACACATTGATTGGTTGCCTCCTGCATGCACCCCAACTAGAGCTAGGAACAAACCCAAAACCCAGGTACGTGCCCTTGACTGGGAATGGAACCTACAACCCTTCCATCCATGGCCGAGCTCTAACCACTGAGAAAAACCGGCCAGGACTGTCTGACTTTTTACTTAGCACAATGCCCTTGAAGTTCATTCCCTGCTGTAGCTTTTGATCCTGTTGTGTCTACTTCCTGGATGCCCATATCCTGCAGCCCTGTCTTTCCCTTCAGAGATGCCCTCCCAGTCTCCACTGATAGCTGGATTCTCTAAATTCTTAAGACAATTTTAGACATTTCATGGAACCATGGGATTTTTATGGTTGAAAGTAATTGTAGAAATAATCTGGTCCTGTAGTTCTTCATTTTATTTTTTAAATAATAAGGTAGGCATGCCTAGAAATCTTTGTGACTTGCTGAAAGGTATATATTAGGTTAGTGGCAGAGCTTACACTAGAACTGATGTCTCCAGAATCTTAATTCAGAGTGCTTCCTGGTACACTGTGAAAACACATGATATGTTACTGAGAGAAATTCCCTTTGGCACAATTATTCTTATCATTATGCTAATTATATTAGTTAGATGTCTCTCTGCTGCTCTAAAGAAGGGAAATATTAGTGTAGGAAAATGGATTCTGTCCTTGAAAATCCTCCCATTTTCAGGCAAGTTAATTTAGTTGACAGCTGGTTATCTCATTTGGGTACAATTCACTGCCAAAAAGGGCAAACATAAAGTGATTCTTTTTTTCCACTGAGAAGATTCCCCTGCCTGCCCCCCCAAAAGTTTTTTCTCCCCCAGTTAAAATATATAAGCTTTTAGGGCAAGAAATAAAATAGTCAGATGCCAGCTGTACTAATTAATATGTTAATGTAGTTATACCAAATTAAAAGAACATCCTATATAATAAAAGGGTAATATGCAAATTGACCCTAATGGCGGAATGACTGGGAACGACCAGTTGCTATGACGCGCACTGACCACCAGGGAGCAGATGCTCAATGCAGGAGCTGCCCCCTGGTGGTCAGTGCGCTCCCACAGGGGGAGCTCGGCTCAGCCACAAGCCAGGCTGATGGCTGCGAGTGCAGCAGCGGTGGCGGGAGCCTCTCCCGCCTCCTCGGCAGCGCAGTCAGACATTCCCCAAGGGCTCCCGGTCTGCCAGAGGGATGTCTGACTGCCAGCTTAGGCCCAATCCCCCGGGGAGCAGGCCTAAACTGGCAGGTGGACATCCCCTGAGGGCTCCCAGTCTGTGAGAGGGTGTAGGCGGGCTGAGGGACCCCCCAAGTGCACAAATTTTTGCGCACTGGGCCTCTAGTAAAATGATAATGATATGGGAATTTTGGAATGGATCACGCTGTTTTCCCCTGGGCAGGATGGCTTCCCCAGAATCTTTGTCTGTCAGAGTCAGAGAATGAAACCACTGATGGAAGATGGTATAGCAAAAGTGGAGATTTATTGAAGAACAAGTACAGGCTCCCATGTGGGGAGGAGGAAAGAGTCCCACAGCACAGATTCCCATGTAGGGAGGGGGAAAGAGTCCCACCGAGTTTCTTTTCCCCCAGTTTATAAAGGCTGTGGTTTTTGTGCCTCAATATCCCCTCTGATTGGCCACTATTCCCCTTTGATTTGGTCACTATAGCCACTCCTGAGCTCAAAGGTCAAACCTCACATGGGGCATGTGAGGCCCTTCTTCTTTATTTTGTAAATATAGACTTTGGCTACTCCCAGTTCCCCTATCTTATGGAAATGTAACTTCTGCTGCTTCCAACTTCCTTGTCTTATGGAAATGTAACTGCTGCCTCTTCAAATTCCATTGTCTTATGAAATGTAACCTTTGTAGCTCTGTAGCCCTGTGTTTCTTCCATGGACCCCCTTAATTATAAAAATCCCCTAAACCTGCCTATTTTACCCCTACATATTCCTATTTCAATAAGGAAAATTGCTTTTTCTTTTCATGTTCACATTTAAAAAAATAATTTTTTACTTTTCAATTATAATTGTCTTCATTCTCACATTTCACAGAACATTTCTATTTTCATCACAAGTATCTTTGACACCATGGTCTTTCTTATTCCTAGAACCATTTTTTTGAGTCACCAGGCAAATTCCTAAAGCACCTCACCTTTATTCTATCCCATTTATTGGGAATACAGTCCTTTTTAATCAGTGTATGATCCTGGATTTTTATTTGAAGCTACAAGTACCCATTGACCAAACATCATTTGATTTTCTTGTTCTGTTGTATATATTTGTGATCCCACATAATAACTCACTCACTGTCTTGATTTGTAAGTAATCTTTAAAGGCAAGTTATAGAGATGTCCAGTCCTTGCAATTAGGAGGACTATCCCAGAAATTGTTTTACATTCTTTGCCTTTTTAAAAAAATTAAATGAAGAGTGCTGTCTGGTTACTTTCTTAAATAGTGAAAACTGGCTTTGATTCCATTCCAGGCTGCTGTGCTATCCCCAAATTATACATTGTCATTCAAAATGAAGCCATTGACAAGTACCAGAGAACAGTAGTCTTTATAAGAACTCAACTATAAGGCAACTCCTTTTGAAGTTTAATCTTGAGGGAGGGGAACTTTTGGCCTCTATTTGGATATTTGTGACAATCGCATTATAGCCTGTGTCCAAGGACTTCCTCCTAGCTGCTATCTTTGTTGACATTTGCTTGAAAGTGACACTGAGGAAATAAGTGGGTGTTTATCAGAGCAGCTCCACCCATTCCTGAGGGAAGCCTACCCTGTCCTACTAATGGGTGCTGTCAGCTCAAACATGTTCATGCATCAGGGGTATCTTCATATTTCCACATACAAACCGCACCTGCCACCATGCTGCAGAACTGGAGCGACGCTGAAGTAAACTGTCTTATTTAGACTTAGAAGCTGCGAGGGCCTGTGAAGCTGCGCTAAAAGTGGCCGAGGAATGGGAGGAACTGGTTCCTCACTCCGTGTGCGTCGGCCTCTCCTTTATGATGTTTTTTTGTGTCTGTTTGGGGTTCTAAGAAATGTCACAGTAAACTTTAAGAAAATTATTTTTCTTTGTGTGATACAACAGGCAACACATGTACATTTTCCAAGTTCAGACCTATGTGGAGAAAATAATGTGTGATTTTTCTGGTCTTCGTTTCTAAAAGCCTCCTTTACTTTGTAGGATCCAAGTGCTTAACTCTGTTGGTTGAAATCCACCCCATCAACAATGTGAAGGTTCTGAAAGCGGTGGATAGCTATGTTTGGGTTCAGGTGAGTGAGCTTGTCATTTAACACTTATGTCACTAATCAAAAGGCCTGAACCTAGAGGCAGCGGTGTTTACCAAGTGCCTTCACATACTTTGTTACATTTTACCCTCAAAGCACTCTGATAAATGGTATGGCAGGAATTATCCGCTCTTCCTTTGCAAACATGGAAATCTTTAAAACAATCCTGGTCCCTCTGTCTCTATTAGATCATGTTTTGTCTGATTAAATGACTTAACCCCGTAATTGATCAGCTCCGTGAAGTGGACGTAGAAGCACTGTGTGAACCATGCAGGGGGACTAGATCGAGGCAGCCCTCCTTGCTTGCTCCTTCTGAATTTATAAATTCTGCTAAAATTTATTTGTAACCCAAAATCAGTACTCCTGGTCCTTTCACAGTCATTTGCAGACATGTTCAAAACGGTGGAGAATTTGTTACCCAGGGCACACATTTCTAGAGCTGAGGTTTGGATCCTAACCGGGTGCCCTTTGCGAGTTCCCCTGCAGCATGAGGTGCATCTTCCAGATAGTTCCAGGGGATAATTAGACACCCACCTGCACCCCTATCATGCGAACTCTCCATTGATGAATATGAACAATCGAAGCTCCATATCTGTGAAGACAAATATTTCCTTAACGTCTTTATAGCTTCTTACTCACAATGCAAAAAATAAAATAAAATAAAGTAAAATAAAATAAAAAATACCCCAAACCTTGCAGGTTTTTGTGGAGCTGTGTCTGCAGCCTGTTGATTTATATTCTGACTTCTAGGCCTTGCTCTAGGGTTGCTTCATAAAAGAAAGAAAAACAACCAACACCTAAGTGGGACTTTCAAAATCATGTTCTCACTGATTGCCGTACAAGGACCAGGCAGAGGGTTAGAACTCCACAGCACCTTCGTCCGGGTCGCAGTCCTAAGCGAGCATGCCCCGTCACCTGTGTGGTGGCCCCAGGGGAGGCCACGCCATCTCCTGTGGGAGTACCTCCTTGTGTTGAGACACTGAGCATCTACTCTTCCGTTATGCATGTGGTGTCACTCATTTTTGCTTCTCCTCTCCCCAGGACTCAAAATACCCTGCTCGATGTGCCCCATTTCACAAGTCAGGAGATAATAAATTCTGAATTATTTTTATAGCTGAATTCTGCACTTGCTATCTAGTTTATAATTGTGAAGTTATTGCTATGAAGAATGGTATATAGTTAATGTTTTGTTTTTCCATTCTAAAAGGCAAACCTGACTACAAATAACTTGTAAAATTTGACCATTTCTATTTCCAATTTGTCGTTGTGAAAAGTTAGGACACCAGGTAATATAGTTTGTAAAAAATGTTCCTAGTCTGTAGAGAGGCTGCCAGCTATACCATAGGGACGTTAAAGGTTGTGTCCTTTCAGTATGCTTTCAAGTTTGGAGGGAAAAAATGAAATTCACTGGTGAATCTTCTCTAGTAAGCTTTCATGTTGCAAGACAAACCTGCTGATTTATAGTAAACCTGTTGATGATGAAAGAATTAAGTCACTGGAGTCTCATCCCATGACCAGTGTCCCCTCATATCACGGTTGACAGCGTCAGGCCCTGGGTTTCTGGCCGCCTGCTTGTCACATAGGGGAGAGCACTGAGGAGGAGGAGTGGGGTGGCCTCCCCTTTCCTTCCCAGGGGCACTCATTCCTTGAGGCTTACAAGTCCTCCACCACATGCCACACTGTGACCCACTGTCCTTTCTTGGAAAGTCCCTGGCTGTGTTGTGCTTTGTCTCTTGGATGTGGGACCTGAGGTTGTAATAGAGAGTACGTTTACTTAGCTCTCTAATTAAATACTAGGGTTTAGTTGCACAACCAATGTATTGATCGCTCTTATTTTGTGCCATGTGAAATAGAGCTTTCTGTACAAATGTTCCATTGTTTCTGATTGACTTGAGAATCACATTTTCCAAATAGGAAGCCCCGTCTCTAGAGATAGCTTACACTTTAGCCTTACCATTTATTTATTTATTTTTAAAATATATTTTATTGATTTTTTTTTTTTACAGAGAGGAAGGGAGAGGGATAGAGAGTTAGAAACATCAATGAGAGAGAAACATCGATCAGCTGCCTCCTGCACACCCCCTACTGGGGATGTGCCCGCAACCAAGGTACATGCCCTTGACCGGAATCGAACCTGGGACCTTTCAGTCCACAGGCCGACGCTCTAGCCACTGAGCCAAACTGGTCAGGGCTAGCCTTACCATTTAAATGAATTATGTTAGACCTGCAGTCAGTTTCCCCCTGGGGAACTGAGCTCCTGAAAGCGTTCCGCTCTCCTGCTGGCTTCCATCTGTAACGTGTGCGTGCCTAAATGTGTGACTCACCTGCACTGTTCTGTGGTCCCCAGCCCCTTCTCTGGTATGTAGCAACATGGTGATCAAATACAGCTTTTGAAATAGTTGTGTAAGCAAGGTAGTTGCTCATGGTTTTGATTGATTTTCTTTTTGCAGTTCCTCTACCCGCATGTTGACAGTCATCCTTTGCCAGAGAACCGTCTGTTACTGATTTCCGAGGAGAAATGTAAGTGCATCTTTAGGTGGGGTATGGGACTTCATGAGTGGACTCTCCCATTGAAGTAGGGGCCAGGACTGAGTTTTCTAGAGGTCCACTCACCAGTGTTGAGGCTCTGCGGGCCATGAATGTCCATTTGAGACCTGGGACTCCTGTAGAAGGGCTGTTGCCCAGCTGTCTGTCTCACACTTTTGTGACTAGAACTGGCAGAAGGTCAGTAGGATGAATGAATCTAAATTGCTTACTGAGAGAAAGGGAACCTCTACACATTCACCCAACATGTTCAGTTTTGTTAATGTGAAGTTGCTCCCTATAAAAAAGCCTCCCCGGTATCTTCTATGAGTTTTCTATTTGATATTTTCATACAAACAGGTGTTTGGTGTTTGGAAACTGCAAGTAAACCCTAACAAATGAGCCCTTAGTAGTTGCACATAAGAACGATGGTCTAGAGCAGTGATGGCGAACCTTTTGAGCTCGGCATGTCAGCATTTTGAAAACCCTAAGTTAACTCTGGTGTCGTGTCACATATAGAAATTTTTTGATATTTGCAACCATAGTAAAACAAAGATTTATATTTTTGATATTTATTTTATATATTTAAATGCCATTTAACAAAGAAAAATCAACCAAAAAAATGAGTTCACATGTCACCTCTGACACGTGTGTCATAGGTTCGCCATCACTGGTATAGGGGAAGCAAATGCTTGTTGAGGGAACTCCGGGGAGCAGGAAGGTTTATGTGCGCATTGTTGATATTGAGGAGCAGGGTAAATATTGGACTTGAAAGAGACTGTAAAGGGAGGTTGTGTTTTGAACCTTTATTGTGAGATTACTGTCTGTGATAATATTTTTCAGTCAGTTGTTTAATCTCCCTTTTTTTAATAAAAAAATTATTCACAATGGTTAGGTGAAAAAGTAGTACCCATGTTTTTCATAAAGGTTAAATGATCTTTCTATTTCTTCTTTGTTTAAAGATATTGAACAATTTCATATCCAAGTCATCCAAGAAGATGGAAATAGAGTGGTAAGTATTTGAAGTTCCTTTTGCTTCAGAGGCCCCCACCCCCGCACCCCCCAAGAATGACATTTCTAGACTGTGAAAGGTTAATGTGCCCTGGCCGGAGTGGCTCAGTTGGCTGAGTGTCGTCCTGTGCACCGAAAGGTTGCTGGTCAGGGCACATACAAGTTGCAGGTTCCATCCCCCATATAATCAATGTTTCACTCTCTCTCTCCCTCTCCCTTCTTCTTTCTAAAATCAATGAAAAACATTAAAAAATAGGCTAACATTATAGAAACAATATTTTCTTTGTTTGCTGTCTTTCAACTTATAGTGTTGCTGTTGTAAAATGTGAACTAATACAAGATATATAAAGGAGCCCTAACTGGTTTGGCTCAGTGGAGAGAGCGTCAGCCTGCAGACCAAAGGGTCCCGGGTTCGATTCGTGTCAAGGGCATGTACCTTGGTTGCAGGCTACTTCCCAGCCCCGGCCCTGGTCAGGGCTCCTGCAGGAGGCAACCAGTTGATGCATTTCTTTCACATTAATGTTTTTCTCTGTCTTTCCCTCTCTTCCACTCTCCCTCTAAAAACAATGGAAAAATATCCTTGGGTGAGGATTAACAAAAAAATAAATAAAATAAAAAATAAAATTAGATATAGAATTAAATGTTCTCTTTACCTCTATCTCAGCCTCTAATTTGGTCTCCTGAGATAACTTATAATGACAGCCTCGTGTGACTCTTTCCACACCTTTTGCCTTGCTCAGGTGCACGTATACAAGGATTCAATTGTTTTTAGCAAAATAGAATTATAACATATATATTAATTTGCTGCTTTTGTTTTTGCTTTTGCATAATATATCATGGGTATCCTTACAGGCTTCTAAATAAATATGTAACTTTTTTCTTTAATTTTCTATCTATAGATACATATACATATATAATAAATGGGATCATAACATATATGCTGGGGTTTTATGTAGTTTAATTTTCTTTTATTTTTTTTGCTTGTTTTCCACTTCTCCCTCACCTTCTCACCTTTATTTTTGTTTACAACCTGGTATGTATCCTATCATGCTTTTCTCTATACGTCTGTTGTCTCTCATCCTCACCCCTAACACACCTAGGGGTTTGTTTATTGTTCGCTCCTTCCTCACTCACCTTTGTGGAATGACCAGTGGGTCACCTAGAATAGTTCCAACTTACTGTCTTTAGAAGCACTTAATGTACACAGTTCCCAACCATTTTCCCACAGATGTACATTTACTTGATTACCAACTTATTGTATTTGTTTGCATTAGAAATTGTCTCACACATTTTTGTGTCTATAGCTTTCCATATTTGGTACACATATTTCGGGGTTAAATCCTCAGGTATGGATAATTGGGTTGATGCTTTAATAAAAGTCAATAGATTTTGCCAGATTGCTTTTCAAGAAAATTGTAACAATTTACAGTTTTACAAGCAAAGTATAGCAAAACCCTTTTCTCTATCCATACCATGAATAGGTGTATTTGTCTTTTTTAAAAAAATTCCAATTTGGTGGGTGTAAGTTGATACTAATATTTTAGTCTGCATTTCCCTTGGTATTAGTGAGTTTGAACATCCACTATGCTTATTAGCTATTTGAATTTTTCTAAACATTGTTTAGTTGTTTTTTTCTTTTTCTATTTTTCTACTGGGTTGTCTTTTCTTGACAATTTGTATGTGATGTTAATATCTTCTTGTTATTTAAAATGTCCTTCAATATTTAAATCAGCATCAAAATAGTGTTTGAAGATTTTAATTTTAAAGTTATGTGAAGAAAACTGAAATGGAAAATCACATTTATTAACATGTATCTACTATTGATTGCCTTATATCAAGAGGCCAGGCTGGAACATGACCATCTATGGTTAGAAAAACATGTGTGGCTAGAGCTCTGGGCCACCAGTGACTCAGTGGATGGGAGGGCAAGATCACGGCCAGTGGTCAGAGAGGAAAGAACAAGGCAAGATCCCAAAGCCTGTGATGAGAATTTAGGGGAGAGATGTAAGTAAACAAGCAGGGCTCAGAAGCTGAGAGCGGCATAGACCAAGGACTGGCTGGTTGGAAGAGGGTTTGGGAGCCAAGAAGACGCTGTAGAGACAGCGAGGGCAGCGGGCACTTGTCAGCAGCCCAGAAAGGCTTCTCCCTGCCCAGAGGGTGCAGCCTCAGCATCCGTGGTCCATGTGTGCCCTACTGTGAGAGGCACTTTTGCCTTCATTCTTAAAGGCTTAGGCCACAGCTTCTTGAGGCAGTGTGCGGCTCCACGCATTCCTCACATTCCTGCGTGATGGAGGTGGTGTTATACTCATTCCATTTTTACAGGAAATAACAAAACCAAGACTCAGAGATGACATAGCTCTAGAGATGTGAACCCGGGTTGCCACACTCTGGTAATGAGGTTCTTGTCAGTATATACCATTTTTTTTAAACCTTAAAAAAAAACACACACCATATTTTTATTGATTTCAGAGAGGAAGGGAGAGGAGGGAGATATAATCATTGATCACTTGCCTCCTGCTCACCCCCTACTGGGGATGGAGCCCTGCAACCTGGACATGTGCCCTTGACCGGAATGAAACCAGTTCCCCCACACTCTGTCCACTGAGCCAAACCAGCTAGAGCTTGTCAGTATATACCTTTATCTGAAAGAGTTCCCAAATCGACCTGAACCTAACATTTTTCAGGAAAATGGAAGCAAGATGGCTTTCCAAGGTTTAGAGACAAACAGGCCCTCTTGGATCTTTTCTCCAGCGACACTTCCCTCTAGACTCTGGGCATCGGCAAGCCAGAATCAGAGGTGCACGATTCTGCGTGCCCTGTGCCTTCCCCAAGTTCCAAGTTAGCCTCAATCACAAAATCCCTGTTAGGGTTAAAGAGGGTTTAGGCATGAAAATGGATATAGAAGCATTGAACAGACCGTCCAACCTCAGAGGAAGCGGGAGGAGGGCGGGGAGAGTAAGAGATCAACCAAAGGACTTGTATGCATGCATATAAGCATAACCAATGGACATAGACAGTAGGAGGTGAGGGAATGTGCTAGAGGGTGGGAGCAGCAGGGGAGAGGTCAATGGGGGAGAAAGGAGACATAAGTAATACTTTAAACAATGAATAATTTAAATTAAAAAATAAATAAAAAGAGAACAAATTATTACATTAAAAAGAAAAAGAAAATGGACCATTCTATGTTCCCTTTTTTTTCTCTCACTTCTACCTCAACCTGTCTACATTCTTTACTGATCTGTCCCGATATAGATCACTTTTGCTACATAAAGCATTTTGAGGGATATGAATACTTAATTCCTTGCATTAAACTTGTAATATCCTTGGCAATTCACATACCTTATCTCATTTTCCTTTTTTTGAATAAGCATTCCTTGAGAACTGTTACGTGCTAGAAACAAGGCATTGAGAATAGGAAGGTGGCATAGAGGAGTGCATATCACTGGGGAGACTTAGAGAATTCATTAAAATGTAACTAACAGGAGCCTGCCAAAGTGCCATAGGAGCACAGAGGTGGGAAGCTTTGCCTTTGTCTTGGGCCTGAGTTTTCCCTTGGCAGCCCAGCTTCTGTGAAGGCCTCGTCAGCAGAGACCCGAGTGGGTTATGTCCAGAACAGAAAGCTCTGGCTCTTCTATTAACTTAGCTATTGATTTGTGCTAGGTGTGGCCTTGCCTTCAACACCACCAGCCTGTCTGTTAAAGTAGGAATAGAGTAAAATCGTATATTATAAAGTGTTTGGGAAGAGCAAGTAATGAAATGATGTCTTAAATCTTTTCTAAAAAGACTTACCATATGTATGTGTTGGGGTGGGGAAAGACTGCTAAAAATAAACTGTGGAAATATTTACATGTATTAGTCAGATAAAATATGCAAATTAACAATGAATTTCAGATCTTTTTTCTTTGAAAATAGTTACTTATTTCTAAAATCCTTTTGCCTCTTTAGGTGATTAAAAATTCTGGCAATGTCCCAAAAGAGAGAATAGCAGAGGATTTTGTTTGGGCTCAATGGGATATGGCAGAGCAGAGATTATACTACATTGACCTGAAGGTAAAAGCTAGTCCGGTGGCCCTCCTTTTTATAGGTACAATTGAATTTTGATGTTATCATTATTGTAATTTACTAGTGACTGAATTTTCATTGATGGTTTATTAAAAAGAATGAAAAGCTTTTCATTACTGTTTGCTTCTTGGCTGCTGCTTTCTCTCTCATGCTCTGTTGTTTTTATAACTTGTATTTTTGTTGGTTTTAGTGGGATAAAATGTCATTTATTTGGTTTCCTCTTTTAGAGATCAAGGAGTACCTTAAAATGTATCCAGTTTTGTGCTGATGAGAACTTTAACCTAATGGTAAGTCCAGATAATGACTGGGCTAGAGGAAATTTTTTAACATGGTGCTGTCCCTTTTTAAAGAGAATTGTTGTCATTAACAGCATTTTAGCACGCTTGATGTGCTATTTGTCAGTTGTGTGAACAAGTAAAATAGTTCTTGCCATCTCAAGGCTTCACCACTATAGCAATTGCAATGAATATACATAGGAAATTTCTGATAACTGAATGCTTCACATGAAAGAAACAAGTGTAAGAGTGAGGATTAGTAGAAGGAAATAGGTGTGGTCTTATAAGTCATTGATGCCAAAGGATTTATGAAGTTGGAGGATTTGAGAATAAGGTCAGTGAGAGGGCATAGTTTAGTAAAAATCTAGCATGACTCCTGAAAAAGCTATTTGGAATGCTACCCTTGGGGTGAGGAGTCATAAATATTTTTATCTGTAATGAACAGTACATTATTATTCTTCCTGATGAGGACTAATATTGGTCTAGATTGGCATTATACCATTATAAGAATTCATTTATTCCTCCTGCATCCCTCCCCCTCCCCCTTTTTGACTCATCCACGCTCCTGCTAAAGACACCAGTTCTTTCCTTATGTGGTCATCTGTGTCTTGTAAAAGTTTACTCCCTTTAATTGGCTTATTATAGAATCCGTTTATGATACTCAAATCTGAAACAAAGTTTGCCAAATATTAGCCCTTTGAGAAATAAATATAGGTGAATCTTGTGATTGTAGTAAGCTCCAAAATATTCCCGATGGGCTTTCTGTGCTGTGTGTCTTCGGGATAACCCCTGAAGACAATGATGGTTAAATGGGCTGTTCATCATTAGGCGAGCACAGCAGAGTGAATCTTGTGATTGTAGTAAGCTCCAAAATATTCCCAATGGGCTTTTTGTGCTGTGTATCTTCAGGTAACCTCTGAAGAAATTGATAGTTAAATGGGCTGTTCATCATTAGGCGAGCACAGCAGTGTCAGGCTTCAGCACTATTGTCACTGAATGTCATTTTTTGTTTTCTCCTGACTCTTTGACAGTTTGAAGCACCTTTGGACATATCATTAAGTGACTCAGGATTTAAGTAAGTTGTTCGATTTCTCCTCTTAATTTTCATAGACACCTGTGGGCAGAATGGTTATATTTATGCCTAATCTATGGTATGTAGACAAAAGGATAGTCAGACATTCCATGTCTTCTCTTACCCTTCTGTTTTCTATAGGGAATAGAAACAGCTTTGTCAAGCATGAACACAGGGTGTTTCCATGTAAAGCCAATTGTGCTGATTGTTGTAGCCATTTGTTTCTGTAGCTGTCTCTGCCTATTTGATCCACGGAAGTACGCTTCTCCCTGTGATTCAATAAAAGGAGTCCGTGAGTCAGAGACAGCACATTTAAATCAAACATAAAAACCCTTTTCTGTAGCCATCAAAGAGGTCAATCCACTTGTAGCTCAACTGAATCAATTGAGTTACGTCTTTTCTGTTTTCCTTTTTACACAAAAGGTGATTCCCACCCCCCCCCAGACTATTTTAGTAAAAACATGAAACACTTTTGAAAAACTAGACACAACACCATCAGTGCACAGAAAAAGGAAAGTCTTCTTGAACTAGAGCAATGATAATCCCAAACTATTCGGTGTTTTACTAGCTTTATTTCATCCTATATAAATGTCCAGTTGCGCTTATTTTGAAACATATGCAGTCCTGTAAATCAGAAAAAAATGGAAGTTGAAAATAATTTTTTTTTTCTGTTTCCCAGACCATATCATTTATGTACCATGCATTTTTTTAAAAAATAACTGTTTTATGGAGTTTTTAAACAAAAGAATGTATATACTTAAAATTTTCAGGGACATGTCTCTACTTCTATAGGTATATTTTAGTGGTTACTATCCTTTGCAAGGGAAGTTATTTTTAAATGCATTCAACATTTTTTGTCTTTTATGTTCTTAGACTTGTCAACTTTGGATGTGGTTATCTTCAAGATCAAGAGAAGTTATGCAAATACCCGACTCTGTGCGTTTTTACCAACCGTACAGGTAGAACCAGCGTTGCATTTTCCAATCTGTTCAACTATACTTGAGTTCTATACAAAGCGTAGTCATTGTTTAGTTGTATGGATCTTGAAAGTGAAATACAATGGCCACATTTTTCTATAAGTAATCATTTGGATTTTTATATAACAAATTACTTTCTCCACTGTAATTTTATAAATTTGCTAGCTATATAAAATAAGCTATACTCAACAAGGTTATTTTTTAATAGTTATTTTTGTATTATTGTTCGAACAGAGGAGATAGATTCACATTTAATCAGCCTACTGCTTCATCTTTAACAAATAGCACAGTGATGGAGATGCTTCTTGCATCAGACTTACTGAGGTTTTTGGGTTCTAAACCTATGAACTTAGCTGCTTTAAGTGCCATGCTATAACCTGCTGAGATAATAATAAAGCTGAACATACAGTTGTTAGTGTTCATCTTCTGTCTCTTAACACCTGTGTATTGCAGATGGAGAAAATAAAAAGCGGGGGGAAGTATACCTGAAAATGAGAGGAGGGGAGTATGATTACATGAACAAACCTGGTGCGAAAAATGCTCATTAATCTCAACAATCATAAATGATCAACTCTAATAACGAAATCTAATAGCCATTTTTAATATTCCAACTTGAGTGGAAATTTGCCATGTGAGTTAAGTAGTGCTTGTATTACAGATAGAAGTGGGCCTCATCTCCCCTGATTGCTGATGCGGTGGATTTCTTGTAATACCCAGAGAAAAGGAATTTTCTGAAACTAGCATGGGAGAACGAATGATTTCTATTTGCGTGGACATACATCCCTGGGTTTCCAAAGTCCCATTTCCCTTTGCCCTGTCATAGAAGTGTAGCTGGGGTTTCAGCAGAGCTAAAATCAGAGCCAGTGCCCAGCGTTTCCTTTCCATGTTGGAGCCAGGATCTATACAGCATCAGGCTAGCTTAGCTTGTGTTCCCCACTGCAGTCCATCAGTCCGTGGCATGTGGGGGTCGCATGGCTGTGGGCCCCACAGGCAAATGCAAGAACACTTCCCAGGTGACATTGTGAACTTTATTTGCACCAGGTCAGGATGGATATAATGTCAGGATGTCCTAATACTAGTGATGCTATGTTTGGTCATTAGGTTAAGTGGAGACCACTGTCTGTCTTCCTTGTAAAGGTACATTTAAACTTGGCGTTAGTAATCTGTGAGGTGATACTTTGGCATCATGTGACTATCCTACTCCTTAACAATTTCTCACCTGTTGGTTTTAGGATTCATTGATGTGTATTCACTGAAGTGTTTTAAGTGGGCAGAGATAGGATTGGATATGTAGTTTTTTCACCGTGGCTGCTGTGTGAAGAATGAGTTAGAGGAGGCAAGAGAGGTTGTAGTTGTACATTTGAGTTGAAACTGCTTAAATTAGGATGGGCAGTAGAGGAAGAGAACTGGATGGGTTTGAAATGCATTTTGGAGATGGAAATGAGAAGACTTGCAATAAATTAGATAGGAATCGTTTTTAGATTTCTGGCAAATAGGTGAACAGTGGTGCCGTTTACTGACATACACAATCAGTTTAGGCTTTTATTCTATGAAGGTTTTATTCCTTTTGGTTTTATTCCCACAGGAATGTTTCATGAATAGTAGCAGCTATAATTTTTAATGGGCTATCTATGACATATGTTATTTAATAAAATGTTAGGTTCGTCTGGCAGGAGATGTGAATCTGTTTTTCCTTTCTCAGTGGTGTCTGGGAGAGTAGAAAATGAGCCTTGCTCTTCACAGTCAGCTTTGAAATAGAAAAAAAAAAGCCTGTTTCAAATGAGATGCTTCCAGATTTAATCTGAAACATGATAGAGAAGTAACTTTTTGGTTTTTGACTAATAGGTTGTCAGTTCATGGATTTCCCAAATTGCTTTTCAAAAATGATTTTGTTTTTTTACCTTTTTGCTTAAACAAGAAACAAACAAAAACCTATTTCAGTGAAGTAGGATTGGAGGAGGGAGCAACTAGTCTAATCGCTACCTGGCTTCCTCTATAGTAGCTTCATTTTCCAGAAAACATGGTTCATGAAAGGAATGCCAATGGCCTCAGGGCCTTATTTTAACTATTTACATCAGTGATGATACTATGATATTTGATGTTCAGTTGTCACATATTTGTCATTGGGAGCTACTTTGCCCTTTCACCATTACTTCTTACATTTTGGAAAACCTTTATGCTGAATCTACTGCCCTGAGAAATGAAATTCGAGAACTTCCGAGGAATTAGACCGTAGAGATTAAAACCTGGATGATGGGGGATGCTCCTGAGAGTTGATGGTGGGCGAAAGAGCTGCTGGTCAGGCCACGTATGTTCTAAGATTATGAGTTCATATAGATTTTTCTAATAAATCTTCTGCGGTGGGAGGGCAAATCAGAGGAAAGAAAATATTCTCATTCCTTTCCTAGCTGATAGTCGACTTTGAAGCTAGACTGAGTGCACTCTTGTGTGTCCTAAGTCAGTGGCTATGATTCTTTTGCGTGTACCACCTACTGGGAGGTAGTGAGGGGTGAAAAGTGTAAATTCTCCTTCCTGTAAGCGTTGTCCTTCACAAGTTCCCAGAATTAGGCCTGTGTTTTAGCATTTAGAATTAGAGCCTTTTACAATGAGATAATTTCCCTTGGAAAACTTTGTCCATAATAGCTTTCATTGTCCAAATGGCTTCCCGAAGGCTAGCCAACTTGGAGATGTTATCTTCATCATTGATGGATATTTATTAAACATCTCTGCAGACACCCTTAAGAGCATGCTTTGTTTTTTCAAACTGTGACTTTCCCCAACTTGTAGATAGAAGCGAAATTATTCTGGAATAATAATAATAATAGCAGCTAATCTTTATCTCACTTAATTCTCACATATGAAGTAGGTTCTATATTTTATTTACAGATGAGGAAACTGAGGCTCAGAGAATTTAATTAATTTGCCTCAGGCAAATTTAAAAATTACTGATGTCTGGGTCTCACTCCTGGAGATTCTGATTTAGTTGATCTAAAGTGAAGCCTGGGCAGAGTGCTTCATGGGACTTTTGCAACTCTCATAATTATTATTTTTGCTTATGCTTTAGTATAGCATTACTTTTATTCTTAGTGAATCCATTGTAATTTTGAAGAAAAGTTATATCATTGTTTACTCGGTAACCATAGTAGTAATTTTATATCTAACAGAATTGTTATTATTTTAATCTGATAAAGTTATTCTTTTATGTTTAAGTTATTGCAATAAAATGTAACAATAGTCTTAAATGTCATTGAATATAGTCACAAATGCTAAGTATTATAACAGAATCCTTAAATAACCTTATGGGAAATGGGCTTTTTTTTCTACCCTGATTCTTTCATAGAGGAATTAGTGGAGTTCATGGAGGAAACAGTGGGTGGTTCATTGCAGCAGAGTAATGATTGCATTCACACATCTAGTTAAACGTTAGCTTGGGGACTAGAACTTTCCAGACTCTTTGTCAAGTTGCTTTCCACCTGGAAAATCTCCTATTTCAGTTAATCACATAAACATTAGCATCAGAATGAACTATCAGTTTAAGCATAATTCCCTCATTTGTAGGTCATTGATGGACTTTATCTAGTTGTCCACATAGCAACAGTTGTTAGAGGGGATGTACAGTTTCACACACATTGAAAGAGGTGGGAAGACCAAGGGTGTCCTGGAGTGGTGGACAATGCAGGTGTACAAGGCTCTCCTTCAGCCATGGGCCAAGGCCCTCAGTGACGCAAATATGGGTGGGTGGGGGGGGGGGTTGGGGGCTCTCATATTACATTTGCTCTTATTGCTCCATAAGATTGCCGAGTTCACCTCTTATTCTAGGTAACGAAGAAGACTGGAAAATTCCTGTGAAGAGGAGATACATTTTGATATAGTAGGGTCTTTAGCTATTAGCAATGACTGGAAGGCAAGCTGAATTGGAGGGCAGGGCTGTACGTGTGTATTAGGAGAATCTCATGAAACTTTGCAAACTTCTCTAGTCTCCCATAATTTCATACACAGGAGTGTGTCTCTATTCATACATTGTGTATAGTGTGTGCTGAGTAATGGTTGAATTGAAATTTCTTAGCAACTTGTTATAGATCATTTCTAGAGTTTGGGAATAATCTAGGAGGTAAATTGAGACAAGACATCAAAAGGAATATAAGTAAGGTTAAGTGGTTTAGGAATCTTTTTGTTTATGATTCTACTAAATACCTTCTAATTTCTAGGAAGTTTATGTGTGTGCTACAGCCCGAAGTTTGACTCTTGGGAACAAATCACATATTCAGTGTTTTACTTTCATAAAGGTACTTTTCATTTCCTTTGTGTTTTACTTTCACATAATTGCTTTTTCCAAATAGTAGCAAATTTGGTAGATTTTAGTATTATTGAATACATTCTATACCAGTATACCTATATAATACGTTTCCTGAAGAAATTCACTGATTTCTATTAAGTTAGCTAAATATTTTTATATACTATATACTTTTTATCCTGACCAATATATTTTTCTAGGTCTGTAGGTCAATCCTAATGGACATATTTCCCCAAAGTGTGTTTGTTTGCTTTTCTGTTATTACTAGTTGGAAAATGTTGGTAGATTTAACTTACAAACATACCTAAGGTTTTAGTTAAAAGTTTCCATGATCTCAGACCTTAACAGGTCTAAAGCCTAAGATATTTCGTTTCACATATCTGTTATCCCCAAAATTGATATGTCAACAGCCAGCCTAGGGAGCAGGAGTAAAATGTGCAACCTCTTCCAGTTCTGCCATTGCTCACAGTGTGTCCTTTAATAGTTTTAGTCTGAACAATGCTAAGGAGTATTTATTTTGCTTATTTAGATCCTTAAACATTGGTTTTTATGTAGTACGTACTGTAGGTGAAGTTAAAAAATTTTAAAGATGAATTTTTCTTTCCAAAATTGAAAAAATATTATGCCAGGTCACACCAGTTTATTATTCTGCAAGTGGGCCTAATATTTCTTTCAGAAGTTAGAGATCGAGGCAAGAAAGTTTAATAACTTACTTGATAATGAAGAAAATGAAAGTACCTTCAGAACTAGACATATATACATGCTTTACTAGTGTAAGGTTAGTATGTTGTGGAAAGTTTTCACACATTTTTCTAATGATTAATGATTAAAACCAGTAAATATGCCCCAGCCGGTTTGGCTCAATGGATAGAGTGTCCTGGGTTTGATTCCCGTCAAGGGCACATGCCTGGGTTGCGGGCTTGATCCCTAGTACAGGGTGTGCAGGAGGCAGCCAATCAATGATTCCCTCTCATCATTGATGTTTTTTTTTTTTAATCTCTCCTTCTCTCTCTTCCTCTCTGAAATCAATAAAAATATATTAAAAAAACACACTAAAAAACAAGTAAATAAAACTTTTCTGAGATTAAGAGGAGTTAGAAAGTGGAGAGTGAAGCCTAAAACACTAAGTTTAGTAGATAGCCTAATCCAATCTACCTCGAAGTGGTATTCCTAAATGACTCAGAGAAGTCTCAGAGGGTCTTAATGACTTCAGGAGTGTGGAGTGAGCCTTGAAGCACCAGGGCCAGCGAGCCAGCTGGTCTCCTCCATCTCTTGGATCCTTAAGTAGATTCCTTTGGATCATTCCCTCCCAGCACAACCTACCTGTTAAGGTCTGAGGTTGTAATAAGCCCAGAACAACTACTGGAATGTGACTGCACTCACGTCACCTAGCCTTAATGCTGCCTTTGGGAGAAGGATGGGAACCATGAAGTCTAGAAGTCAAAGCTGCTTGCTTTATCAGTGTCACAAGCACTAAAGTTGAGAGTATTACAAAGACTCACTGCCTTAGGTGGCATTCCAGCTCTTTGTTTCTTAACGTGTTCTCTCTCCACAGGGTACAGCAAGACCTTCACTGCTGCTCTTGGGAGTGCGCACTCACGGGTGACAAAGAGCATTACTTTCCTTAACCTTGGTGAGTGAGGGAGAGGGGCACCTCTCCGCTCTGAGCCATCCTTCCAGTACTTGTTATGCCCCAACCTCTACATCTCATTTTCTTCTCTGTCCATCCCATCTTCTCATGCCTCTTTGGGACTTAGATTGCAATGACAATCACTGTCCTTTTTGAAATCTGATAGGAGAAGGTTTTCTAGGGAAGCACCCAACTCCATCAGCCTTTATGGGGGTCTGAGGTGAGCACGCATTTCTCTATTTAGAGAACCCACACTGTGAGCTTCCTCACGTTTGCAGTAGCAATCATAAAAGCCATTTTGTTAGTGTAAAATGATGACCGTGAATGAGCTGTTCCCTAAAAGCCTATGAGCAATAATACATCATGTTGGCCCTTGATTCTAGAGAGGACAAAGGCATTTGGGAAATTGTCCATTCCCTGTTGCTAATTGCTAAAAGCTTCCAAGTCCCACAAATGATTAATGGATCCTCTTAAGTGAGTTGTTTTTCATTGAGTAAATATGGTAAGTGGATCTTGAGTTCTATTAAGGGAATCTATGAAGAAGAAAATAAAGAAGGGGTTTATTGTTTCTACTGGGAAAGTGGCTTTTCCATGCTAATTGGTATATGGGGCACAAACAGGTTAGCACAGAACTGTTGCTTGCCTACATATGGGACATGGCATAATATTTAAAAAGGAAAAGCTGCCCTACCTTTTGGCTCAGTGGATAGAGTGTCAGCCTGCGGACTGAAGGATCCCAGGTTTGATTCAGATCAAGGGCACCTCGTATCTACTGGGAAAGTGGCTTTTCCATGCTAATTGGTATATGGGGCACAAACAGGTTAGCACAGAACTGTTGCTTGCCTACATATGGGACATGGCATAATATTTAAAAAGGAAAAGCTGCCCTACCTTTTGGCTCAGTGGATAGAGTGTCAGCCTGCGGACTGAAGGATCCCAGGTTTGATTCAGGTCAAGGGCACCTCGTGCCTTGGCTGCATGCTTGATCTAACTGGGCACGTTCAAAAGGCAACCAATTGATGTATCTCTCTCACATAGCTGTTTCTCTCTCTCTGTCTCTCCCTGCCCTTCCACTCTCTTTAAAAATCAATGGAAAAAATATCCTTGGGTGAGAATTAACAAAACAACAAAAAAAGGGGGCGGGGGAAAGCTACTGTCATGACAAAGGTTTAGGAAGGTGTGATGTGAGAGAAGCGGGCAAAGTGAGAACCAAAATGACAAGAATGTTCATAAAAAGATTTTTATTTTGAGTAATACTATTGGTGAGGTAAGACATCTTATGCTATGTTGGCCGGTATGTGGCAGATTTTATGAGCTTTGAACCTGTGGGAAATGGCCTTAGAGAGGCCTCTGCTACTGCTTCCTGTGGTAAGAGAGATAAATATAAGATTTCTTGGGACTAGGACTTGATTCTTATCAGCATCCCATCTAAAGAGCAATGTGGGGGGGGGTAACTTTCCACTAAAAAAGCATCAAACAAACCCCAACTTAGCATCTTGTGAGGTCAAAGATATTCTCCCCGCCCCCCCTCCCCCTTTTTTTTTACCCTGGGAATGACTCTTGAAAAGGGCAGGCATGATTTAATCTATGGTCTTCAAAATGTGGAGAAGGCAGAAATACTAGAGCTTTGTGAAAATAGGCTGTCTTACATAGGTTATCTTTCCTTCGTAAACACATTTTATAGGCTCAAAATTGTACTTGACTCAAACTGTTCTAGAGGTAATTTTTATGACAAAAATATTGCTTTTTTGAGTGATGTACTTTTTGCTGTCAATTGCATGCAATTTCCCTAAATTGCCACCGTGTTAAAAGGGCTTATATTGATTGAAATTTTAAAAAATAGAGTTTAGGGGAAATTTTCAATAAACTCCTAAGCACCACTATATAAGCAATATGTTTATAAATAAAAAGCTTCCATTTAAAAAAAATGAATACTATATGCTATTTTACTTAAGTTATCTTGACTATTACAATAATTTTGCTTAGTGATGATAATCAAATTGAGGCTCAGAAAGGCTGAGATGTATATCCAGGCTTCTTCTTCTTTTTAAAATGTTTTTAATGATTTCAGAGAGAGGAAGAGAGAGGGAGAGAGAGATAGAAACATTGATCAGTTGCCTCCTGCAGGCCCCCTACTAGGGATTGAGCCTGAAACTTGGGCATGCGCCCTGACCGGGAATGGAACCAGTGGTCTCCTGGTGCATGGGACAGTGCTCAACCAACTGAGCTACAACGGCTGGACTGCCCAGGCTTCTTTTAGTATCTCTTATCAGGGGCACTATTATAGTTTATTTCTTTTGAAAACAGTCACCATAAATTTTGGGCTTAAAACAACAAAACATTCTCTTATGGTTCTGAAGGTCAGGATGCTGAAATGAGTCTTGAGGAGCTAAAATCAACATGTGGACAAAAATGTCTCTTTCTGGAGATGCCAGGAAGAAAGGGTTCTTTGCCTCCTACAGCATCGAGGCTAGCATTTCTTGGCTTGTGACACATCATTTCAGTCTCTTTCATCACATGACCTTCTCTTCTGTAGTCAGATCTTCCTCTTATGGAAACATTTGTGATTACACTGGGTCCACTGGGTAATCCAGGATACTGTCCCCATCTCAAGATCCTTAATCACATCTACAGGATCCCTTTTATCCCTTAAGGTAACATATTCGTAGGCTCTGGTGATTAGCACCTGAACATTTGGAGGTCAGCTTACCACAGATATTATTGTTATTTTTGGTGAGACAGTAATTCTTTGTGTGAGAGTGTTCTGCACATTGAGCGATTTAACATCCCACTCACCTAATGGCAGTAGGAATGAATCCCCCTGCACCCCAATGATTGTGACAACCCTAAACACCTTCAGGTATTTCCAAATGCCCCCTCTCCCAGGGACATAGTGCCATCCTAATGAACCGGTTAGCGTAGGTCATTTGATGCCTAAACCCTTACCACTGTACCCTACTATATTATTATTTATGTTTTTCTCCTTAAGGTTTGCCATAATTATATTATTGCAACCATTTGTGCTAAGCATTTTAGCATCACTTGATCCATGGTGACTGGTTAGAGTTTTACATCTTCTTTCCTTTCCTTTGCATAGAATGCCTTCTATGCAAATGATTAGCACATATTTATTTGCTTCTTTGGAAAATAAGATCCCAGCTGGCTCACTTGTAATTTAAATGTTTCATCTGCATAATATTCACTACAATCATGTGAATTTCTGTTTTCCTAAGATCCTAGAGAAAATATTGGTATTTCTACCCTCCCATTCTCCAGAAATGTACTTTTACACTTTGACTCAATCTGCATACAAATGTTCTTGGTACAAAAATATCTAGTGCAGGGACCATGAAGGTGTGAATTCTATAGAGGAGTGAGCTATGCAAAAAAATAAATTAGTACTTCATAATGTGTCAGATGCCTGCAGAGATTTTTTTTTTTTAAAATATATTTTATTGATTTTTTACAGAGAGGAAGGGAGATGGATAGAGAGTTAGAAACATCGATGAGAGAGAAACATCGATCAGCTGCCTCCTGCACACTCCCCACTGGTAATGTGCCCGCAACCAAGGTACATGCCCTTGACCGTAATCGAACCTGGGACCCTTCAGTCCGCAGGCCGATGCTCTATCCACGGAGCCAAACCGGTTTGGGCAGCAGAGATAGTTTTGATGAATATCAATTTAAAGATTCTCTGAACAAAATAATGATGATGATGACAGTGATAAGCATGACTCTGATGATGGTGATGATGAGTGGGTAAACATGGGAAACGAAATCTTAGAACTTCCCCAAACTGGCAGAAACTTTGAAGGAAATTCCCATGATAAGCTATTCCCAATTTATCAGATTAAGGAATAATTCATGTTGCTTAATTTTTTTCTTTTCTTTTATTAAAATTTTTTTTTCTATTCTAATTTGCTCCCAAAGATCATTTAGAATTATATAAAGCCATAATTCACTTAGAAACAAAACTATAGATCAAATTAAGGTAACCATAGCTAAAGGTCTGAGTAAAATTAGCCACAGATAGAAATAAATGAGAGTTGGCTGTAAGATGGGATGTATTGACAGCAGACAGCTTATTACCACATTGACCAAAGCTTTTGTTTTAAGAGATTAAAAAAAAATAGGAATACCATGAAGTCCTGGCTTTATCTGTATCTGTACAGCTTTTACCACATGTAGATGACTTCCGTCTTTCTCTTCTACAGACTATTACGTGGCTGTTTACTTACCTGGTCATTTCTTTCATCTACTTAACATTCAGCATCCAGACCTGACCTGCCACAGTCTGTTTTTGACAGGTACGGCTGAAGATTTCCCCTCAAGAACATGGTCCATTTGAATTTGTTGACTTGAATGTTTATGTTTGGGTAAGAAAGGTTCCTTTTACTTGCTGATCTTTTTGTTTTTGGCCAGGAAACAATGAAGGGATGGCTATGCTACCTCATGGACCTCTGCAGTCACTGTCGGGGTCCCTGGTGCTGGATTGGTGTTCTGGGAAGCTCTACAGAGCATCCCTCAACCAGTCCTATTTGTTACGGCTCCTGTGGGACACACGGCCAGACTGTGAGAAGATGGCCGTGTTGCACTGCGTGCTCTCATGTGGCCGAGACTCGGAGTTTCCGGAAGCCCAGGTGGGGACATAGCTTAAGTTTAAAAATTGGCAAATAGACAGTATCAGATGTATTTATTTAGTGGTTGAACATGAACAGAAGCTATGTTTATTTGTTAGCAATTGATCAAGGTTTATGTCTTCATCCTGACTTGAATATATTTTTCTCTTGTGCTCCTTTTTAATGGATCCCAACCAGACCTCAGAGGGTGCTGTCTGTTCTTCTGACTCCTCTTTTTTTGATATTGTGAATGAATGTTTAGCTACATCAGTAACATTCTAAGGAAGTGCTCCGTAAATAATGAGTTTCTCAAATATCTACTTTTTCACCTTTTCTATATTTGGAGGATATTGCCAAATGGACTAAACTCTGGTGGCATATATTTTATTGAAAATTACATTTAAATTTCACATAATAGTTTACAAAGCACCTTTACACATTCTGTCATTAAATTTTACAGTTCCTGCGAAATCAGAGACTTAATTGGCACCAATGGGTGGTTGGTTAATTGAAAAACAGATATCTTAAACATTTTATTTTAACTTAAAGCATATAAATGTACATTTATTCACCTATCTTTTGATGTAAATGAAAGCCCTTTATTTGACTCTCAGCTAATTGAAGTTCAAAATCATTTTTCTTACATTACACACACTAGTAATGTGTTGTCTCTTATTCCTGTTAGTTCTTTTTTTCTTCTTTTCCTAAGGAGAGCAATAATTTCAAAGCAATGTGTTTATATAGGGCATTTTTCCCCCCCTCAGTCTTTTATAGTCGCCTCACCTATACCTCGTTTTTTACTAAGTGTTTTAGAGTCTTTCCAAAGCATCCAACTTTTGTTGACCCAACAACACTCTTTGCATTCATGGTTTGATTGTCTATGGTAATAGTTTGTTTAATTAGTTGTGAAAATAAATACAATGAACAGGAATAGGTTTGGAAAAAACAAATTATTGGTAGGAATAGAACCATGAGAGTAAATTCTAAGGTAGAGAATGAGGGGCTTTATTCCTCTAGCTGACGAGGATGGTTTTGGAGACTATGGGAGAGCTGTCGACCACAGGATATCCCTCCTCCCTCCCCTCAGAGGACAGCATAGTGCTGTTAAATCGTGTGGCGATGTTCGTACTGATGACTGAGCTGGAAGTCAGACCCAGCTCTGCTGCCTCCAGCTCAGTGCGTTTGTTTACTCAGCTCTTCCCACTGGTTCCTTGCTAGAATATGACCTCCTCTAGCAAAAACAAACATTGGGTGCAGTAAGGTTTATTTGGATTCCAGCCAAGGGCACTTATTAAAAAGACATGTAAAAAGGATCTTATTTATAATATTGTTTTACCTACATAGGGTTCCATTATGTGTCTACTGCCTCCAGCTCAGTGCGTTTGTTTACTCAGCTCTTCCCACTGGTTCCTTGCTAGAATATGACCTCCTCTAGCAAAAACAAACATTGGGTGCAGTAAGGTTTATTTGGATTCCAGCCAAGGGCACTTATTAAAAAGACATGTAAAAAGGATCTTATTTATAATATTGTTTTACCTACATAGGCTTCCATTATGTGTCTAGTCTAGTCTAGTCTAGTATAGTACAGAAATAAGTATATTCTTAGGCAATTCCAAAATAGATATAAGTTTCATATATATTTTACACTTCTTTGGTGGTGGGGGCAGGGTGCAGATTTAAGTATTAACAGAATTGTCTTCTTACTTTTTAAAGATGATTCAATGGATTTCTGAGAACATCTCTGCCTACTATTCATTTGACCCCATTCAGGAATTTATAATTGGTAGGTGTTGTTCACATTTTAAGTTGGATCCTTGACCCTTTTGCCCGAGGGAAAATACTACACTGATAATGCCTCAACCTGTCAAAATGCTGGTTAGTAGCTTCCCCACCCCCTCTATTGTAGTCAGCAGCTAATTAAATTTCATTCTTTTGTGGTTTTGTGAGAAGCTGTGGCTGTTCAGAGACTGATGAGATAAAAGATATGATTTTGATTGTATAACCTCATCAGTGATTTTTTTTTCAATAAAATGTAGCATTTGTTTTGTGTTGGCTGGTTGGATATAAAGTGGTATAATGCCATTTGGATAAATATAAGTGCCTAATTTTTTAAAGCAATTCCTACTTTTATTTTTAAAAATTGATTTAGAAGTGCCTAATTTTTTAAAGCAATTCCTACTTTTATTTATTTTTAAAAATTGATTTAGAGGGGGGAGGGGGGAAGAGCGAGAGAGAGAGAGAGAGAGAGAGAGAGAGAGAAAGAGAGAAGAGAAACCGAGAAACCCTTTGGTACACACGCCTATGCTCCAACCACCGGAGCCATACCAGCCAGGATGTCAAATAATTGTTAAAAAATTTATTGTCATTGTCAAAAGCAGAATCTGAACATTCTAATCAGTAGATAAAATTATAATGGTTAATGTTTAGAGGATGACAACTGTTGTTGGTTTGCTCATTTTGGCAAATTACAGTGTCTACTGCCTGATTATTAAACCATGTCTATTTTTTTTCCTTTCAAAAACCTGCTCAGCTTCTTCATATTGGAGCATATACCCAGAGACAAGTAACATGGATAAACTTTTGCCATATTCCTCAGTGCTCACTTGGAATACAGTAAGTTACAGTTTTTGTGTTCCTTATGTAATTGAAATTAACTCACAGTTGTGGGTCAGTTGTAGGGCATTCCTGTCACAGTGACTAAGGCTGTGATTTCATTTTGATTTTGACTGATAAGGAACTGAATTGGCATTTTCTGGCAGAAAAATAATACTTGCTGTTGGCCAAAGGTATTTATAAAACAGGAGAATTGAGGAGAAGGCATAGGATATTTGTTATTCTTCCCACTACCAAACAGACCTAAATCTTTATCATCTTCAAAAGGTATCTTAATTTGATTAGCATCTAGACTGGATTAAAACATTTCTTGGGGTTTTATAAACAAGGAACATTGGACCACTGCTGTTAATCTGAGTGGTTCTCTTTACTTAGCAGATTAGCACCTTCCTGACCTTGCACGGAAAATGTGTGATAACTCTAGAGCTTTACAATCAGTAAGTTGGTAAACTTGAGCAAATTCACTCCTAGAACCTTTTCTTCCTGTTGGTGCCGTCTGCCTCCTTTTTAATTAGGAAGCGCCGACCTAGAGCACGGTTCACTTTCTCTTGAACAAGGTGCAATGAACTGCACTTTGCTGGATGGGAAAGTGCAAAGCAAGCACTGGCTTCCCCCGAAAAAGGTTCTGGTTCTGCTTTCTCTTCTTTCCTATGTAGATGCCAGCCTGCATGCTTAGTCTTGAGGCAGGGAGTTCGGATCAGAAAGGCATTTAGAGAAATAAATTCAATTCTGGAAATAGACCTAGGAAAAGATGTGCCCGGATGACCTGTGACCCTTTCCGTTTTGTACGGAGACTACTTAAACATAGTCCTGAAGAAAGACACCTTAGGTGTGTTTGATTAAGATCTCAATTTTTGGTATGTACAATGGCAGTGTTTTCCTCCAGGCCCTCTGTTCTTGTCTTTAGCTGTTAGAGTTATTAAACGTCCATGCCTCACTGTAGAATTATAAGGGGAAGACCTGAGCTTATATCAGGTCCTCCCTGTTTTGGTTAAGAGCCCTTGTGAATATACATGCAGACGCTGTGGTAATGTGGCAGGAAGTTTGCAGGGTAAGCCACCCGGTCAGGAAATGCACATCTCGGCCTCTTCCGCTCAGCACCCATCGCTCTCTCTTGCCGTCCTGCCCTGTCAGGTTCAGTGTTGGAGGCAGGGTCAGGACCTGTAGTTCTCAGGGTTGTGTTTTAAGATGGAGCACATCAGCCTGACAGGCGAGTCTTCACTTTTGCATTTCTCATGGCTTCGTGCGGCAGAGGAGCTGCTGTGGCCATATAAAGTGACCTCCTACAAGAAGCACAATGTAAAAACCCCCTAAATTATAACCCCCTGTGTACTAAGCTTATTTTAGGGTTTACCACGTTGCTTTAAGGTTCTTGTGGTTAAAGTAGGTTACCTTGAAGGTCTCTTCTGATCCTGAAATTTTCAAAATCTATGCTTCTCCTTAGCAATGATGCAAATCATTTTTTTTCCTTTCTCTAACCTGCAAATGCTCTCATTGCTGCACCCTTGACAAGCACTTGGAACAATAGAAAACATTAATTTCACACTTCTGTATGGAGGCAGATTATTTTTGTGAAATAATTGAATTGGATTTTTTTAAAGATACCAGATAATAGGGTGCTCTTACACATTGATAACCCTAAATTATGCTATGCAAACAATTAGCCTTGTTATACCTATTTTAAGGTGTTATTTATAACCTAAAGCTATAGCGACACTTTAATGCTTTTTTTTGAAGTGTCCTATATTGTAAAGCACACAGAAGATTCTTTTCACAGGCTTTTTATTCTCGCAGTGGAGAACTCAGCTGCTTGACTGTTCTAGAAATTTCTCTATCACTGCAATCCCTTTCTAAACCCAGTATAACCCAGGACATTTAAGTCCTATCCAAATATCAGATTTTATTTCTATTTAACACCTTCTGAATTATATTCTCATGTATTATGTACTTTTTTTTTTTTTGAAATGGAAGATGAATTGACTAATTGAGAGGCTGGTATGCATAATTCACACAGAAACACATTTTGAAAATAACAGTGAGTAGAAGGCAATTTTGGAAGTTTATCCTCTTATGGTCAGTGTCTGTTTTAATGCTCACTTGTCAGCAGGAGGTTATAATTGGGACTTCCTGAGATGAAGTGCACACCCTTCACAGTTGCCATGGTGATCGAGTTGTGCCAACTTTATAGGGGTCTCTTAGCTCTGAAATTATGGTGGAGGGTGAAGTGCAGAAAACTTTTCTACAGCAGCCATACAAGGATCCAGTTAATCTTGGTTCCTTCTAGTGAGTTGGAACCAACTGCAGTGCATTTAAATGAAAGAGGAGGAGAGGGAGGAAGGATTATAAAACCTGGAACATGCTCCCCTTATTATTACACTGGTAGTGCAAATGGAAACATGCAAACCATATACTGTTTGTTTATTCATCTTCTTCTTTCCTTTAGACACTGTCAACTATTAAAATCATAACTTTAAGGAGTCTTTTTCTTCCTGTGACAAGAGATAGGCTGTGTTCACTGTTATTTTTAAACTCCGGGGTTTATTTAAAGTAGAGGTTAGCAAACTGGATGCTGCCCTCGGCTTCGGTCTGTGCAGGAGACCTTTCCTGAGGGCTTGAGCTTGTGGCCGTTGACATCGTGTGTCTGTTTGGCCCCCACTGCAGGAAATTCCTGGAATAAGCCTTGTGACGGAAGAGATCACGTTGCCTCTGATGAAGGTGAGTCCACACAGTCAGAGACTTTCAGGCGCAGCTGTGCCTGGCTTCCTTGCTGCCGCCACACTGGAGTCACACCTCGTCACACCTGGACTAATGGCAGTTCCAGAGGGATTGTGAACTGTCAGAGGAGGAGGGGATAAAGGTTAGAGCCTTTATCCTTCCTAAGTGGTTGAGTAGCCACGGAGAATGATGTTATGGCATTCTTAGGAATGCTCTTCGAACAGGGAAGTTTTCTGGATAGAGAGTTACAGGGCTCATTGTAAACCATATAGAACTAGTGCTTTATACTGCGCCTTAAACCCATCAGCTCTTGTAAATTATCTTATAGGGCCCGGTAGCTGTTTTTTTACTTCATTTGTGCTGTCACCCCCTCATAACACACACACACACACACACACACACAACCCTAAAACCATTAAGTAACCTGGCTGGGATTATTTCATTTCCTTCTGCTTCTAAGAACAGCTTTTCTGTTTCTGCAGTGGCTGTCTGTGGCCTTGCTCAAGCTGCTGCACCCCTCCTTCCTGCCCGTCTTTCTGTAGTCTGGTGGTTTCAGAAGACTGTCTGACTACAATAGGGAGAATGGGGTGGGTGGGTGAGTAGTAGCGAATGCATATGTAGTTAAGAACTGGGGAGTATTTTAGTACAGTTTCCTTGAAGCTCCTTTGTTGGTTTTGGCACTGCCTCCTGCTAATTATAGACTGGTGTGTACCGGGAACTCTCAACTTTTGGCAGCAGGCAGCTCAGTGTGCAACTGCCTTTTCTTTACATTTGATTCTTTTGGATCCATGAAGGGCCTGCCAGGCCTGGGCAGCTGGGGGAAAGCCGTGGGCGGTTGAGGTCACAGTGATGCACTGGGGATGAGAGAGGGCTGGGGTGAGGGGGGTGGGGCTCAGGGGTCTACTGCTGGGACTGGCCTTGGGCTCAGGAGAAGATGGTCCTGGGTTTGGCCTGGCCAGTTCCCTCACCCCGACCCCAGTCACTCGGCCTGGAAGACTAATCAGTACCTTCCGCTTCGCAGGACACCTGGCCCTGATATCTCTCATTTGTTTCTCCATCTCTGCTTGAATGATACTCATCACTGAATGCTGCTGCCTCTGACCAACTTTTTCTACCCCAAGTTCCAGCTTAATTATATTGTGAGGGACCTTGTTGGGTGACACATCCCACCCTCTGTGCCTCCCCCCCAGCCCCAGTTATAAGACTGTTCTTGCCACGCTCACCTGACAGCAGTTGGCTCTGAGCACCTATAACCTGAATCCTACGCGACCTCTGAAAGCATGCTTGCAGCCAGACTTTCCGTGAGGCCCAAGGGACCCCCTGTTTACTCTGACCCACAATTGCTTCTGTTCTCCTTGGTGTGACTGCCCTGATAAGGAGTCGGGAGAGGGAAGGAAAAATGCAACTGGATACGTGCTTTCCTCCTGCTTTCTCTGCAGATAATTTTAGTTTGAAGCGGAGCACTTTACAGACGTTTCATATACAGGGGTGGGTAAAAGTAGGTTTACAGTTATAATACAAATAAATAAGACAATGATTAATAAATAATAATAAAGAATAAACTTTCACGTATTCAAACTGTAAACGTGCTTTTGCCCCTATGAACATGTTAGGACACATAAACCAGTTGAATTAGAGGATTGCCACCCAAAAGACAACAGGCTTCCTTACTTTATGAAATTACTTTCAAAAGAATTTTAAAAAGGAAAAAAAGGGTATATTAAAACAAGTCTCATCCTAAAAGGAATGTCATCAAGAGCAGTTTCCTAGGATGATTTTATCCCTTCTTAAAGCATGGCTTTCTCTAGGGAAGCGGCAACTTTTGAAAAAAGGTTAAAAATCATTCTTGATTTTATGATGACAAGAGAAACTAGTAAGACTGTCCTACCACAGGAAGCATGTACTAGTACAGATTTAAAAAAGGAAGAGTAACTTGAAAATAAAGATAAAAGTTGAAAGAGCATCCCAAAGATGGAGAAATGTAGTATTTTTACCCAAGTATTTTTTAAGCCAGACATCTTTAGTTTCATTTTATAAAAAATGGAAGCCTCTTATTTCATCATTTGTTTAGAGGTTATTAACTACCTGACCCAGAGACTGGCCCGCCTACGACCACTCAGGAGGGAGGGTGTGGCTGTAAGTGTCTGTCAGGTGTCTGAAGGCCGCCGAGCAATTGGGAGAAGGGTAGCTGACTGCTCCATTTAGACTTGTTTATTTAATTATGCCTCTTTTCTTAAAAAGTTTAAAAATACCGTTTTAACTGGGCAGAGCATGAGTCTAATGAATGGCTTAGTGAAACACCATGACACCTTTTCCTTGACCTTCCCAATACCGACAACCACCATCGCTTACATCAGTGGTTCTCCACCTTCTGGCCCTTTAAATACAGTTCCTCATGTTGTGACCCAACCATAAAATGATTGTCATTGCTACTTCATAACTGTAATGTTGCTACTGTTATGAATCGTAATGTAAATATCTGATATGCAGGATGGTCTGAGGCGACCCCTGTGAAAGGGTCGTTCGACCGCCAATGGGGTCGCGACCCACAGGTTGAGAACCACTGGCTTAAGTGAAAAGTTTGTTAGAGATCCAAACTACTGATGCAGTCACAGTGTAACAGCTGATTATCTTTTTAAAAGCCAGAGCCACAATGAAATGGCACTTTATTTAATTTATTTTTTAAAAATGTAATACTAGGGCTGTGCCATGCTTTATTTAATTAATATCACTATCGATAGTATTTAAGTTGTTTCTGCCCTTTTTCAAACACACAATATTTCCACGAGCCTTGGTGATAAAGGTTTTAGCGCACGTGTGCGAGATTACCAACAGGGCCACGTCTTAAAGTAGGATTGCCGCGGTTTGTGATTCTGACAGATGTGTCCAGATTCCCCAGGGAGCTTGTCACACGTCACTGTGATGATCAGTGGAAGACACCTTTAAAGCTGGGTTCCATCCCTGATCGGGGTGCTTGCAGGAGGTGGCAGATCCATGTGTCTCTCTCACATCGACATTTCTCTCTCTCTCTCTCCTCTGTCTCTCTCTCCCTCTCTCTCCCCCTCTCTCTCCTTCTCCCTTTCCCCCCTCTCCCTTTCCTCAACATTTAATAGACTTTGCCTTGCACTGATGCACCAGCAGCCACAGCCACCGTTCAGCCCTGTGGCCCTGCGGCCCTGTGACCCTGGGACATCTCGCTCCACCATGTACCACCATGCCCCACAGCTGACAGTTTTTAAAAATGAGAATTGTTGCTTTGATAAAAATGTAGCTTTATCAGAAATGTCCATTGGTTATGTGGGAAATAATTGATTTTTCAAAGTTCATTTTATACATATGTGATATTGTGTTATAACTAGAAATATATATTTGGTCTTCCAGACATATCCATAGTTCCTGGCACAGAGCTCCTAAAATCTTTATCATTTCCTAAGTGATAAGCATTACAGGGACATCTTTTGTTATAATAGTTAGTGTTTGTTCCCAGTTTCTGAAATGGCACCACAGCAGGGAGGTGAGAGTGTCTTTTGTTATTTATAAGCAGCCCCTTTCAACCACATCTGAGATGACCTTATTGAGGTGCTTTTGAAAAGCACCTAAGGGTGGGACTGTGGCCCTGAGAAGCAGCCAGGTGATTAGAGGGTTGGCACTTTCAGCCCCACCCCCACTCCCCACCTCCTGAGGTGAGGATTGCTAGAGATTGAGTTCAATCACCAATGGCGAATGATTCACCCAGCCATGCCTTTGTAGGGGAGCCTCCGGGAAGAGTCCTAACGAACGGATATGGAGCGCTTCTGGGCTGGGTGAGCATGTGGATGTGCAGGGAGGGTGGTGTGCCTGGAGGGGGCATAGAAGCTCATAGCCCCTTTCCACATGCCTTGCCCTTTGCATCTCTTCCATCTGGCCCTTCCTAAACTGTGTCTTTTTATAATAAGGAACCTGTTTTCCTGAATTCTGTGAACAACTGTTGCAAATTATCAAACCCAAGGAGGAGGTTCTGGAAACCTTCAACTCACCGACTAGCAGTTAGAAGCACAGGTGACAACCTGGACTTGCGATTGGCATCTGAAGAAGGGGGCATTTTTATGGGACGGAGCCCTTAACCTGTGGGATCTAACACTGTCTCTAGGTAGAGAGTGTCAAAATTAAGTCCAATGGTCGACACCCAACTGATGTTAGAGAACTGATAGATGTGGGGAAAAACCCTCACATATTTGGTGACCAGAAGTGAAGTATTCTGTGAGTAGACTGTAGTAGAGAAACATCTGAAGAAGGGGGCATTTTTATGGGACGGAGCCCTTAACCTGTGGGATCTAACACTGTCTCTAGGTAGAGAGTGTCAAAATTAAGTCCAATGGTCGACACCCAACTGATGTTAGAGAACTGATAGATGTGGGGAAAAACCCTCACATATTTGGTGACCAGAAGTGAAATATTCTGTGAGTAGACTGTAGTAGAGAAAAAAAAAGAATTTTTCCTATACAACATTTCTGGACAGTGAGTTATGGCAAGTAAAATTAACATTGTAAAACAATTTTATGAAACACTACTTACTAAAAACAGAGCACCAGGCTGGTAAACCCACTCCTGTCATAGCTGTAGAGATGTGACAGTTTACTTCTCCGACGATGCAATTGAAGAACACACCCAGGATCAAGGATTCTTGTTTTTGTTTCTCTCCTACTAGTCACTAGGCCAGTGATGGCGAACCTATGACACGCGTGTCAGAGGTGACACGCGAACTCATTGTTTTGGTTGATTTTTCTTTGTTAAATGGCATTTAAATATATAAAATAAATATCAAAAATATAAGTCTTTGTTTTACTATGGTTGCAAATATCAAAAAATTTCTATATGTGACACGGCACCAGAGTTAAGTTAGGGTTTTTCAAAATGCTGACACGCCGAGCTCAAAAGGTTCGCCATCACTGCACTAGGCTATGCTGCTGCTCTTATTCAGAATTTTGGTTGGAGACATAATGTTTCATTCTTAAGGCTGACAGGAGGGAAATACCTTAGTATGGGCGTTCTCAGGGTACATGCTGATTTTGAGATGGAATAATTTAGAGCCATATTTAGTGATTACATTAAAATAAAACCTATGAAAAATGGCTACGAGAACTTCACCCAGCTAAGAAGAGATCTCTTTGTTACTAGATGTTAGGAAAAGGAGGAAGTCCGTTTATAAATAGGAGAACTTGCACTTGCAACATGCCATCCTTAACAGGAAGCCTCAGTGAAACTGAGTCCACGCTCGTACCACTCTCTGCCCAGAAGCCAATAAGTTGAGTGACAAGGTGTTGAGGCAAGAAAAGGTGACTTTATTCAGAAAGCCAGCAAGCCAAGAATATGGCGGACTAGCATCCTAAAGAACCATCCTGAGAAAGTACAGAATTCAGGCTTCTTTTATATCAAGGGAGGGGAAATGGTAGGGGCAAGAGGTGACTGAGGGTGGCAGACATCTGGGCACCAGCAGGGGTCTGAGGAAGATGGCGAAACTTCTTTGTTCTTAGCCTGTTCACTCTAGTTGATGTGAGTTCAGTCATGAGGTTCCTGCAAATCCTTGATAAACAGTTATTATTTTTGTACATAGTTCCCCTATCTCCTCAGGAAAGGCATTTTTTGGTAAGGGGCTGTTTTGTAAAATGTAAGGTGCAAGTGGCATACCTCTAATGATTATCATGTCTATATGCAACACCAAGCAGAAGCTGTTAGCCGGAAAGCCATGGGAACAACACAGGCTTGAACAAGATGCAGCCAGAGAGGCTGAGCCTTTCACTCTGTCACCTCAGGAGTCCAGCCACCAGAGCATCTTGGCTTAGTGTGGTGCCTCGCTGGCTTCGAGGACACATAGACTTCTCTATTTTATTCTGTCTGTGCTGGAGGTGGTGGGTCACTGTGTTTCTCTGGGCTGCAAGTAAAGGCTGATACCGAGATGGTATCCACTGACGAGCCAGAGTGCATGGAGCGTTAGCCCTGCTGGTTGAGCCCTGGCCTGGAGAGGGAAGGTTCTCTCCGAGTTGGCTTCCTCTCCAGTGAGAAGATGCTGGTGAATCAGAAGACTTAGGACCAGAGCCAGAGGGCTGTTTGGAAATGAAGGGCAGATGTTTTCTCCTGACAGCAATTTGCAGATGAGCCTGCACCACAGGGCTTAAAAATACTTTTTTAAAAAAAATCAACTGGCAATCCAAATCATAAATGGGAAACAGTCCCTTAATGTAACTCTTTCGTTCTTTTGTTCAGTTAATAGTTGTCATTGTCTACATTTGTTAATTATTCCATGTCATCCTAGGAGACAAAAATAGATTATTTCTCAAGAAGAAACTTCTTTCAAAATCAAAGTTTAAAACTCCCCTTTGAGTAGAAAAATTCTGGGTTGTTCCTGGAGTATCTAATGGCTTCTAACACCACGTCTCCCAGAAGCAACTAAATTCATGGGTATCTTTCTTATAAAGCTTGTGTGTGTGTATTTTAAAGTTTTGTGAGTTCTTTTAAAGTAGCCAGTATGCGTTTCTCGGGCTTTCTCTTTGCTCAGTTGTTTCTGATGAATACAGCGCTTAGTAAACAAGTAGTTCCATCAGTGCTGGTTGACTGAGAGGAGTGGCTGTCTGTGCTCCCCGGTTGGCTGTTAGGATGTGGTTGTGCAGTGCCCCCAATATCTACAATTTTATCGTGGGCTTCGTATATTCTCTGGATTAATGAGCATGCTGGTACTCACTGGCAGTTGAGATCCTTCACAGATTGGCCCCAACCTCCTCTTTAATGCTGTCTCCTGTCACTTAACAACACAACCTCAGCCTTCCTCCACCTTTAACCAGGGGTGCAGATAGAGGAAAATGTTCGAGGGTGGGCGTCGGGACTGGGATTACCTGGACATGCTCAAGTGGTGTTCTCAGCGCTGGCTGAACGGTAGGATTGCCTGGGGAACCTGTGAAACTCAGGAGGCTCAGGTCACGCCCCAAACAGTTACATCTCCAGGGGATGGGATTCAGTGGCTGCTGACGTTTGGAATCAAATCCAGAGGCAGCTATCTTCACCTCCGAGAATGAAGTGTTGTTGGTTGTTTTCTCTGCTTTCTCCAAGGCTCTGCCTCTGATCTAAACCCAGAATCCACACTGGGGTGTCTCAGTCTTCACTCACTTCCTCAGAGCTCCCCTTGGAACGTCCTCTTCTTATCCTTCACTTACTCAAATCCTTTTCATCCTTTGGGTCTCATCTATTAACCAGACTTCCGAATAGATCTCCCAATTTACAATGATTCCCATGAATTTTTATAGCTCAAAAGGTTGCATCAGTTATCCAGTAGATACCACGTAGTGACATATGCTGGGCATTGCTCTCTGTACTCCCTCAATAGCTACAGTATAACATGCAGCCCAGTGGCCTCCATGAAAGACCTGTAAGTTTTTATTAAAATATTTTGGGGACTTTTGGCTAACAGTGTTTCTTATTTAAGTGTAAGCTGCTGTCGTTGTTTTAAACTTAGATTCTTTTCCTTCAAACTCAGTGGTTTTGAACTATTTCAGGCCATGGATTTCTTTGAAAATCTGGTGCAAACTATCGACCTTCCCAGAAAAGAGCTCATACAAACACACACTCCATTTCATATGCCAGCAGTGGGTTCATGAGCCCCTGTGAAGCCTGTCCATGGACTTGCTTTACCTGTTTTTTTCTCAGCTGAGAAAAGGGATTTTTTAAGTGGGGGAGTGAGGAGGAGGAAGGCAGTTTGGGAGAGAGATTTTCTGAGGACCCACAGCGTGGGTGTGGGAGGTGGGGTCTTCTGATGGGAGGGTGGCATTTGGTCTGAGGGGAAGAGGCCCTGTGACAGGTAGGACACCGCATTTCTCCCCTCACATAACCTGCGGGCCGCATGGTGGAACGCCTGTCCAATGCAGGAAAAGCCGATAGCTTCATTGACCACTAGATGTCACCACAACACCAATAAGTTTTCTGGCTTTTGGCTGCCCTGTGCCTGGGCCCAGAGGTGAAATAGCAAGTAAGTTGCAGTAACTTAACCATCAGGGACCTAATATTAGCAGGATTTACTTTCATTATTATTATTATTTCAATACAAGGAAGTCCAAAGGATGAATAAAGATACATTCAGTATAAATTAACGGAAAACGAAAGAAAAGGTGAACGAGATAGGACAGGGGGAGTATGACCTGGCTCCAGTGTTACGATTCCCCTAGAAATGGCACTGTCTTGGAAATAGGTTTTTGTCTTTGTGAGAAGGATTGTTGGCTGGACTGGGCTTTCAGGCTCCTAAAATGGCAGTTATTATTATGTAACTCACTTCACAGATACTCCAAAACCCATTTTGAACCAATTATGACCGTCCGTTCAGTAAGAATTTGGATAATGTGCTCTTGTTTAACATAAGGGCATGTTTCTTTTCTTTTTTAAAATATATTTTTATTCATTTCAGAGAGGAAGGGAGAGGGAGAGAGAGATAGAAACATCAATGAGAGAGAATCATTGATCGGCTGCCTCCTGCACGCCCCCTACTGGGGATCAAGCCTGCAACCTGGGCCTGTGCCCGTGGCCGGAATTAAACCCAGGACCTTCAGTCCCCAGGCTGATGCTCTATCCACTGGGCCAAACCGGCCAGGGCGGCATGTTTCTTGATTGAGGCATATTTTATTTCTTATTTTTTCTCTTGCAATACAGCCAAGTCTGTTGCCACAGTAAGCATTAGCTCACTTTGTTTTATGGCCTCATATTGCAACCTTGGCTCCATTCAAATCTTTTATAATTGCATATTTTATATGATACACACGTTGGCAAGAACGTGTGTATCATAGATTTATCTTCATTGATTTAAAAGAAAACAATTTGTGTCACTATATCCTTCAACATTGAAGAGGCTTAATATTTCATTTAATTTAAAAATGAACCTAATGGATACATTCTTGCTTCAGGGTAGTACAATTATATCAATAAGTCAAAGACCTAATTAGGATGCCAACTATTCTGTTCTGGAGTATTTGACAACTGGATGTGAAGCTAGTTCACTTCACCTTTCCGATTCCTACGTTTTGAAAAATAAATTCTTTGGCAGTAGATAAGCTTGGTGGGAAAGTGAGCCTATTCCATGCGCTCCAAATCTCATGAACATTCTCTGACTGAACATGGCATTGTTGATACAACACTGTGTGTTTAACATAGGCTGACCCGCTTAGCCTTAACCCAGGGGAGTCATACCAGTTTGGGGAAGGGAGCAGCGGCTCTCTCTGTGTAAAAGGGGGTAGGAAAGGAAGTGGGGAAGCAAAGACTCTTTAAATCTCTCTACTTTAGAATCCCTATTGGCATGAGAATGCCATCCTGCATGGCAGGTACTCACTCGGAAATGCTGCCCCATACGAGCTGAGGAAGTCAGGGATCCCAGGTTGGTAGCAGGCTTGTGTGGCCCTCCTGGGTAGTTTGGCCAACAGGGCCCGCTGCTCAAGCTCACAGATGTTTTTGTCCCCTACAGGTGCATAGCTTTAAGAACTACTGGGAAAAACTGAATGCCAACCTGGAATATGTTAAGTACTCCAAGCCACACTTACACTATAACAACAGCGCGGTCAGGAGAGAGTGGCACAGCCTGATCTCAGAAGAGGTACGCGTGGGTTCACAACAACAAAGCAAGAAGCAAGAGCATGCATGTTAGATCCAGGTGATACCCCCAAGTCATAAGGCTGCTTCCCTTTGCAGCACCTCCCCAATGCCAGGCACTTTTATGTTGTGGCTACCAGTCTCCCAATAGGCAGTCAGAGGTGCTTCTCTGATGCTTCTTTGGGTGATAGAGCCCTTCTGTCTCTTGATTGTGGTGGTACATGAATCTACGCATGTGATAAAATGACAGCACTGTACACTCACTGTACCAGTGTCAGTGTCTGATTTGGATAGTGTACCACGTATAGTCATTTATATAAGAGGTAAACATTGGGGAGATTGCGGGTGAAGAGTACCTGAGGGTTGTTGTATATAGTTGTAGTATTACTGTATATTAATGTATAGTTGACTTGCAATGTCCTATCTGTATATATAAAACCCTGAGCAACCATCCGACTGTCCAACCGGTAGCTATGATACGCAATGACCACCAGGGGGCAGATGCTCTTACCAGTAGCTATAATGCACAATGACCACCAGAGGACTGACGCTCAACACAGGAGCTGCCAAGCTGCAGTGACTTGGCAGCTGCAGTTATTGGGTGATGTACCTGGAACCAGAGAGGAGGGAGCCCGATTCTGGGGTGTGTCATCTGAGAACAACCCTCTTGCAATCTGGGACCCCTTAGGGGATGTCGGAGAGCCGGTTTCAGCCCCATCCCCGCAGGCCAGGCTGAGGGACCCCACCAGTGCATGAATCTGTGCACTGGGCCTCTAGTAAATTTATAATAGTTTTAGAGAAACAAAGTTTTAATAATCTAGGTATTTTATCTGTTTACCTGGAAGGTATATTTCTTTTTCCTGAAACTCTTTTATTTTTTTAAATATATTTTATTGATTTTTTACAGAGAGGAAGGGAGAGGGATAGAGAGTTAGAAACATCGATATGAGAGAAACATCGATCAGCTGCTTCCTGCACACTCCCTACTGGGGATGTGCCCGCAACCAAGGTACATGCCCTTGACCGGAATCGAACCCGGGACCCCTCAGTCCGCAGGCCGACGTTCTATCCACTGAGCCAAACCAGTCAGGGCATTTCCTGAAACTCTTAATTGTATTCCATTATGTTCTTGATTTGAAAAATGTCACCCATAATACCTTCAGCTTTTATACCTCTGACATATTCTCACTCCTAGAAAACAGGAAAAAGAAGGTCCAAGGCGTATGTGAGGAATATTCTTGATAATGCAGTAAAGTAAGTGAAACTGGGGATTCTTGTATCTGTAAGATGCTTATCATTTGCATTATTTTTTGGCTGCTTTTCATGGAAGTAGCTGACTTTCTTTGTGTATCATGATGCTGTCAACTCACTGAATGCAGCCAGTGGGGCCCCATTGTGGAGTTTGATGTCAGAGTTTCTGGTGGAAAAGCTGATCTGTTAAGCCTTACAGGTCTGTGCCCTATGGATGGATGATTTGTAAGGAAGTGGTAGAGAAAGCCCTTATTAATTGAGCACTTTAGGGGGGTACAGACAGTAGGCTGATTTAAAAAGTGATATTGGCCTGTGAGCTTGCTCTTATTTTGAAAGCAGATTTTCTGGATAGTGAGTCATCTCAGAATGCTACAAGTACAGGCCCCATTCCAACTTCTGTTCTATTTTCTGTTCCCATTATTTCCAATAGCTAAGAGCTGCAATTGTTCTAAATTATTGTCATTGTTTGCACTAAAGGGCTTTGAGTTTCATAATTGCCTAATGTGGCTTTTGCCAAGTTGATGAAAGTTTTTGAGGTTTTCACCCGCCTGAGAAACAGTTTCTGCAGGGGTTGTTAGAGGAGGCTATCATTGTACGCTATTGTGGCTTTCATTAAAAAAAAAGAATGTTTCCTGTGTGAATAACATGGGCTCATTTCTTTGTAGGGTGATTTCTAACCTAGAAGCAAGGAATTCGGGTAAGAAAAGACCTGCAATCAAGCCTTTGGATTCCAGTCAGGGTTTTGTTTGTAACACCCTTCGTCCTTCCACTGGGGGTTGGCAAGAAACCCACTTCCAACAGTGCAGTGGAGGCAGCACCTTTAACATCTTCCTGTCCGAGCTCCATGCTTGTCTGTCTTGGCACCGGGACCTTCAGGGACAGCTGCTGAGTGTGCTTTGCTTGTCGGTCCCGGAGTGCTGGCCTCTGGCTTTCATTATTTTCCCGCATGGAGTTGATCTAGTTAACATGCCCACTGGCTGTACCCACAGGATGCGCTTTGGAAATTCCCTTGGCTCAGGGCGCCACTCCCTCCAGCTGTCTGATCACACAAGGGCCTTTGACTGGTGTGCTGCGTTCATTTTGGTCGACACTTGGGCGCTCACTGGGTGAGGTCATAGGGGCGCAAAGATGAGGAGTCCCTAGGTAAGCCCAGCGATGTGAGGGAAGATCCTGGGCTTGGAGCCAGACAGGACTGGCTTAAACTCCAGCTGGGCCTCATGCTAACCGTGTCCTTTTAGGCAAACCATTTAACCATTTTGTGTGGTCCTCCTCAGGGCAAGGATGGGGAGAAAAGGAGAGTAAATGCTATAGCTCTTGGCACATGTGGGATACCTGGGGTGGCTGGTATATCATTCGTGCATGAGGAAGAAATGCTAACACATAATTTCTAAACCAGATGATAGGTGCTATGTAACCTTAGGGTGCAGGTGTGAGGGGCAAGGAGCAAGGGGTGAGGGCAGGAGTAGGGATGGTTGGGTCAGGAGTAGGGATGGTTGGGGCGGGTCTTGACAACCAAGGGGACTTAGCTGGGAAAACTGGGGGAGGAGATTGCTAAGCATATCCAGGTATAAGCCCTTTTGCAGTCTTGTCAGTAGAACTCTCTCAGGGTTCATACAAGTCAGTCTTTATTTAAAAAGTTGTCGCTTTTATATCTCACTTATGTTTATGGGCTTGGATGTTAGGTATATGTTGGGTGACCCTAACGGAAATTGTTCTATACAGTGTATTGCTGCACATCCGCAGCTGTGGACTCCACCCTCATGCACCGTGACGGTGAACTTGTCAGCCAGCCCAGGCAGATGGAGCCTGGGCCCACTGCACGGCCCCAGGGCCCAGCCTCTGCCTGTTACCAGGCCATCCATGGTGAGGCCAGGGGTTGCATCACCAGCCCTGGCAGCAGCTGTCAGCAGGGTCCTGCCCAGTGCGCGGGGTGTGAACGTGTGGGATTCAGGGGTTTGCAATATGGGAAACGTTGCTGTGGTCTGTTTCTGTTGTTGGCTCCGCCCACCCGAGGAGCCCCTTCTGCTCCTGTCCTTCAGGCCTGCTCGCGTCCTGTGACAAGTCATTTTCTCTTGACACCTTTTTGGGAGCTTGCCCCTGCTTTGCTTGTGCCAGTTTCCTAGGAAGGATGACATCACTGCCAGAAAGGGAACACTCGTGTGAAATTCAGGGCTGCTGGGCTCAACCCTGCATTGTTTCTTCTTAATCATGAAGGTTATGTGGGATCCATGTAGGATTTCTCCTGAGGTGTCAAGAGGCATTCATGCCTCCCGCAAGGAGTCCTCAGCCCGGGGACCGGCAGAGTTCAGTCCTCCTGACCCTCTGGGACAGGAAGAGCAGGGCAGAGGTGCCCAGGTGCCCTCAGGGGAGTGTTAGGGCAGATCTTCCAATGAGACTGCTCGCCTGCTCCCCCCCTCCCAGTCTTGCTGGTGAAGTGCAAGTCACGGTGTAGAAAGCGCCATTGGATTTGACCTTACATATCACTTTTCCATGTTGATTTAGTTGCTTTCAGTCTGATAACATATCCATTAGTATTATTGCCACAGTAATTGGTCCCCTCAGCTTAGTATTTCCCGAAGACACTGAACTATGGGAGGCCAGAAGGAAGGGAGTCATGTGATTTTTCCAACAAGTCCCTGCCCCTGTGTTTGTGTCCCCCTTAGAGTTTAGAGAGGTTACTCTGTCTCCCATGAAGCAGAAGTTCTTGGACAGTGGTGAGGTTTTGTGTTGAAGAGAAATCAAAGCCAGAGCCTGTTGCTGTTGGGAGATGTGTTCCTTCTCCCTTCCTTCCTCCCTCCTTTGTTCTCTCTCCCCCGGGTCTCGACCTGAATCTGCTGCCCAGAGCTCTCTTGCAGTCACCTGAGTGAGAAGTTCAGCTTGCAGGAGTAGGTCACACTAACCTAGTGAAAAATTTTTATTTTATCTGGGAACTGTCATGTTTTCCCAATGACTAAGAGAGGGGAAACCCAGGCGGATTCCATTTTTTTCCAGCCCATTTCCTGCTTGACAATTGCTCTGTTTCATTTCAGAGCCAAGAGTGACACCCCTCTTGCAGGAGGAAGACAGCCACCAGAGGCTGCTTGTGGGGCTGGTGAGTGTCTGCGGGACACTGAGGTGGCAGCAACCATGGGCTCAAGAAGGGAGGAAAGCGCTAAGTTGTATTTCTCAACCTGATCTTGTTTTTCATTCTTTCAACACAGACTTGTGTCCAGCCACTGTACGCCCTGTGTGTTCAGTGGTAAGGAACACCTATGTGATTTCTGTCCTCTTGGAATTACAGTCTAGTGGGGGAGACACACTTTAGTCAATTACCCCAATATAAATATATAATTACGAAACATCATAAGGAAATGTACATTAAGAGTTTTTAAAATGAGGAAAAAGCAACGTCTCTGTGGCATTTGTATTTCTGGTTTAAAATAAAACAGAATAAAGTATTCTTTCTCAAGAAATCCTACTACTAGGAAGACCAAACAAATATAAAGCAAAATAAATTAATTAAAGATCAGAATTGGTAAATAACTCCAAAATCTTTAAAAGACTGATGAGAGACATCAGGAAAGTCTAATAAAATGTTTTTAATACTGTGCAAGCTTAGGAATGGGATGATCTACTACTAGATATGGCAAGTTAAAACATATGAGAACAGTATGTATAAATACATGTTCACACACTTCAAAATTCTAGTTAAACAAAGTATCCTTGGCAAATACAATGCCCAAACCTGAGCCAAGAAGAGATAGAAGACCTGAAAGCACAATTACTGTAAAATAATTAGAAAAACATGCCAAAGATCATCTCCTAAAAGGCTGCAAGGTTATTTAATCAGCCTGTTCTTTCAAACTTTCGAGGACCAGGTAATTCTCATGGCATGTAAATTATTTTCAAAAAAGATGGGAAGCGTCTTAATCACTTTAAAAAGCCAGCATAACCTTAAAACCAAAACTGACAATGAATAATATAATACTAATTAATAGTCAACATCCTTCTTAATGGAATGTTGGAGGCATTTCTATTAAAATCAGAAATAAGTTAAGGATCATTGCGATTTTCACTAAAATTTTACATGGTTCTGGAAATTCCAGCCAATGCAATAAGAAACAGAAGTAAAAGAAGATGCAAAGACTGTCTAATACTACAAACAAACAAAATAAACAACTGGGAAAATGAAAAATAAGGAACAAGTTAGTAAGCTGCTGATTCTATATTTATTTTATCTTTTTTTTAAAAGTCAGGATTAACCAGTTAGAAATAATAATGGAAAACAATATCCCATTTACAAGTTATTAGCATCTAGGTTAATATTTATTAGCATCTAGATTAATAACATAAAATAAAAAAGCCAATAAAATGTCTCTGCCAGCAACTAAATGACTCAGTCGACACAGTAAAGAGGTGTAGGACTGTCGCTACCAGATATCTGACTGTGTTGTTGGTCTACATCAGGGGTCCTCAAACTTTTTAAATAGGGGGCCAGTTCACTGTCCCTCAGACCGTTGGAGGGCCAGACTATAGTTTAAAAAAAACTATGACAAATTCCTTGCACATACCTTATTTTGAAGTAAGAAAACAAAACGGGAACAAATACAATATTTGTATTTGCATGTGGCCCGCGGGCCGTAGTTTGAGGACCCCTGCTCTACATGGACAGCGACAATATGGTGCTTGTACAAAATAGTAGACTGTAGTTTAATTAGGATCTTTAGTATGATATGTGATTAGAATCTTTAGTGTGTAATATGTATAAAAGTCAATGTGGAAAGAAATAATTTTTAAAAACTTAGTCAATGGTTATCTATTTGCGAAAGAAAATTAAGTTAGAGTCATCCTATCCCAAATACCACCACTTTATACCATAAAACAGCAATTTTCAACCTTTTTCATCTCAGGGCACACATAAACTAATTACTAAAATTCTGCAAAAACGTAGTGTAATTTTAATTCATTCGCACTGGAGGCTATTGTGTTAGCTGTTGTCATTTTTTATTTGACCTTCGAACAATTTAAAAATTGTTGTGGCACATCAATTGAAAATCACTGCCATAAACCAATAGAAATATCAGATAGATAAAGGAGTAGGATATACAATATTTAACTATGTGAAAGAATTTGAATAAGTGGATAGTTAAATAGTTTTGAAATAAAGAAGGCCCTTTAGTGTGTTATTGAATATAGACATATAGGAAAGGATAGATTGAAAATTTAAACAGAAAAACAAAAGGCAAATGATAAATTTGGAAAAATTGTTTGTGATATTTGTGATAAATGATTAACATTTGGTGTATAAGTAAAGTGTATAGGTCAATACAGGAACAATACATCAGCCCGGCCAGCGTACTCAGTGGTTGAGCAATGACTATGAATCAGGAGGTCATGCTCTATCCCCACTGTGAGCATGCAGGAGGCAGTCAATAAATGATTCTCTCTCATCATTGATGTTTCTCTCTCTCCCTCTCCCTTTCTCTCTGAAATCAATAAAAATATATATTTTTAAAAAGAGCAACACATGAGAAGGGAAATGAATAAAGGCTGTGACCAATAATTTTTTGAAAGTAAATTTAGGTCAAAAATCTCAAGTCATGGGAAGGGAAGAAAAAGAATTGTTTACATTGCTATATTCAAATGACAAATAGAACAAGTGTTTTTGTTTGCTTGTTTTTTATTGTCTATCAAATTGACAACAATTTAAAAATCATACCAGCAAAGTTCAGAGTACAGGGAGTTGGACAGCCTCATCCAGTGCAGTTGAGAATTAGTGTAACCACAATGGAAGGCATTTCGGTGATCTCTCCACAAACCTTAAGTGTGTGACCCAACAAATTCCATTTCTAGGAATTTAGTCTGACAAAATAACATGGTAAACGACTTTTGTTTGAGAATTCGTTGGAGAATTCTCACCAGGGCCTGGAGCTTGACTTTCAACTGCTCCCTGGGCTTTGGATGAATCAGAAATAGTTCCTCTTGAAAACGTTGGCACCCTGGATTTGTGCTCATCAGAGGAAGATTGAGGATTATGCGTTTCTGCTGGTGGGATCTTTAGACCCAATATTTTCATATTAATAAGGAACGTTAATAAATGGATCCAGCTCAAACCAGTTGCCAGTGTGAGTGGGTGGGTTGTGATTTATCTAATTTATATCCTGTTTTCAGATGGTGTCTGAACTAAAAGACCATCTTTCGAGACATCTACAGGGTGTGGAAAAGAAGAAAATTGAACAGATGGTTCTGGACTACAGTTCAAAACTGGTTGGTTTTGCTTTTTGTTTTCCATCCCCCAAAGCCCAGGTATATAATTCCTAGTATATTTTTCAAATTAGGTTTTTGGAGGTCTCCCATTCTCAAACCAGTATATTGGGTGCTATAGATTGAGGAAAGGGGAAAAAAAACCCTCAAAACAAAGAGAACTTGGTGTATTGCACAACCTTCCAATAGTGATTGTATGCTCATGAAGCCTAAACCAGTGATGAGTTTAGCATGGTTGCCTAATGTTCATAATTTATCTTGGCATTTTATTAAACAGTAGGTAATGATTTCTGTGCATGGAGGTTTATGTAAACATGAGAGAACTTGAAGTTCAATTCTTAATTAGCTCCAACAGTCCAATTAGGCCTGATTCCAGTTAGTTGTAGAAATACTACCACATTAGAATCTGCTGATGCGATTGGCAGCTCATCTACCAGATATCCAGCCACTTACTGAAACCATGTAATCCAAATGAATGCCAGTTCATGTGTAAATAGAAGTGATGTTGTTAGACTGAATTCTAAAGCTGTATTTGGGTCCTTTTATAAAGCATATGGAGTTGAAGCCTGACCCTGCTTAGAACCTAGAAATAATGTGCCAGGAAAAAAAAATTAAAAGTACATAGAAAGAGAAAGAACACTCCATTTTTCCAAGTTTGGGTAAGACCATTATGCAAATGAGCCATTGTGCAAATACATATTTTTGCATTGAACTCTGGAAGATTAAATTTATTAGATCGGACCCTCATTTAATTTCATGTTTTATTTTTAAAGTTTCTGCCTTCATTGTAATCATTAGTGTCTGTTTTTAAAAGAATATCTTTGAATTTAATAGTTTTTAATGTATTAGGAGAGGTTGGTATTCTCATATACTGATATTTATAATCAGAGCATTGAAACTATCTTAAATAATTCACCCTTGAAGTGGAACTATACTGAGGGGCTGACTTTTATCGATGTGTTAGTGATCTTCCCCATGCTGATATTCACTTACTTTTTTAGTCTTTTAACTAATACCATACAACTATTTAACACATCTGCCTATCACCTTTACTTCTGTTGACTTTAGATTTCACCTTCCAAAGTATTACGAGTTTTTGTTTAAATATTATTCTTCCCCATAGTTAACCTCATAAAAGTTTTGACACTAGTTTGTGTGAAACACTCCTGGAACACAATAGGACCTGAAATGGTACAGATGTCATCTCAGGAAACTCAGTGGCCCTGACTTTCCGCCTCAGCAGTTACTGATTGAAGCCAAATCTGCCTGCCCCGGCCCAGCGGCCAACAGCCACATCTCCCAGGCTCCTCTCAGGAGGGTGGCTCGATAGCCTTTCTAAAACAAGTTCCAGAAGTTTCTGCAGAACCTGGACATATTACGCATTATCTTACCTGATTTCAGCTCAAGAGAAACTGAGAATCTGTATAATTGAGAATAAATGGCATTTGTCTGTGCCTGTAGGGAGACCCTGTCCTTTGCCCACACCTGCAATGCTTGGATGCATGGCTGATAACTGCTTAGTGGAGGCTGTACTAGTATTGACACACTAGTAAAATGTTGAACCTGGGGACTTGAAACCAGTCTTACTCCACAGCCCATGCTCGGGACTTCATGCTGTTCAGTATCTCCTTTCTCCTCACTGCCAGTGGTTGGCTGTTGCCACATAGCAGGCCTAGAGCAGACCCAGTTGCACTTGACCTTCACTGATGGACAAGGGCCTTTAATTGAGGGCCTGTTGGCCAGGCTGGGGGAGCTCAGCTGGGGCATGGCCCGCACAGACAGAGGGTGCTCTGTTGGACTCTGGGGTGCATTTTCAGTCTTTCCATTTGGGATTCCAGCGCCTCAGAGCTGACCTCAGAAAGGCTGGTTCTGTGTCTGGGAACAGCTGGAGCGCCAGCTGCCCCGAACGTGCCTGTCAGAGCTGGGAAGCATAGCTGTGGGGCCCCTGAGGGGTGGGTGGGATGAGCAAAGATTGACAGATTGTCTTTCCCCTCCAGCTGGACGTCATTTGCCAAATACTGGAAACCAGTTGGAGGAAACATAATCTTCATCCCTGGGTTCTCCACTTGTACGCAAGTATTTCTCATTCTTCTGTCACGGTGTGCAAAGAGCCAAAACAACTCTGATTGCTGCCTGCTTTCAAAGCCTTTTTGGAACTTACCAGTTGGAAGCAATTCTCACCAGTCCTGACACCATCTCTCTTAGTTCTGTGCTCACTGTTTGAAGTTATGCCCCTATTATTCCACTCATCCTCTTTCCTGGCATGTGGCTGATGGTGAGGGGGAGGGGCACATGAGTTAAGTACTACCAAGAAGGGGAATTGAAGTTAACATAATTAATTATGTGCCAACTCCCTGGTTAGATTCTAGGCTTTGGGCTGGTGGTCACCATCATATTTTTGAAGCTTTCTACAGGGGTAGCCGCTCACGATTTGTATGGATTCCATCTGTCTATGGTACTCAGAGCTACTGCTTAGACAAATGGAGTTTCAGAGCTGAGCTTCTTTACTGACATGCTGCTTTGGTCCTTCCCCCAGCAACAGGCGGGCTAGTGCTGCTGAATCTGCAGTCTTCCACATCATGACCAGGATTTTGGAAGCTACCAACAGTTTGTTTTTACCTCTGCCTCCTGGTAAGTCTTGGCTCTTTCACCCTTTGTTATAATAGATTTGTTCTTTCTTCTTCACATGGTCCCTTGACAAAGGCACATTATGAGTTTAAGGATGAGACCTGCTGTGTCTGAGAAATTGTGTGTCTGATGTCACTGTGAGAGAAGGACCTCAGGTTGGTCTCTGCTCGCCAGATCTCCCCCAGTTATTAAACTATACTGTAGTTTGTCTGTAACTTTAGGGAGCCCAGCTTGGTCCCCATGTAACTTTCTAGGATACTTTGAACCAGTGGAGCTGATTCAGGGAGATCTTTCTCTGATGTCTGTAAGCCTAGTTTATCTGACAAGAAAGTTAACACAGAAGGAAGTGGGTCTGGCTGGGTATCAAAATTGGACTGATTCTTATGTGCTTAGAAGCTGTACTTTACATTCCCATGGCTATTTTTTTTTAATAACTGGCAATTTTTCCTTCTTAATCCCTTAATCTTTTTCAACTATCCCCTTGATCTCCCTCCCATCTGGCAGCCATTAGTTTGCTCTCTGTATCTATGAGCTTGTTTCTGTTTTGTTCGTTTGCTTATTTTGTTTAATAGATTCCACATATAAGTGAAATCATTTGTCTTTCTCTGCCTGACTTATTTCACTTAGCATAATACCTTCTAGTACCATTCATGTTGTTGCAAACGGCAAAAATTCATTCTTTTTTATGGCTGAGTAATATTCCATTGTTTATAATGGACCACATCTTCTTTATCCATTCCCATCATCTTTTTTATCCATCCATCTATTGATGGACACTTAGGCTGCTTCTATACCATGGCTATTGTAAATAATGCTGCAATGAACATGGGGGCACACATATCTTTTCAAATTAGTGTTTTGGGTTTCTTCAAATAAATACCCAGAAGTGGAATTTCTGGGTCATATGTTAGATCTATTTTTAAATTTTTTGAGGAACCTCCGTACTGTTTTCCACAGTGACTGCACAAATTTATAATCCCACCAACAGTGCACAAGGGTTTCCTTTTCTCCACATTCTTGCCAACACTTGTTGTTATGTTGATTTATTGATCATATGTCAGCCAGTTTAATTTATTCATATATAGCTAGCCATTCACCCATCATTAATTGATTCCTTTATTCATTCATCTTAAGCCAACATGTATAGAGTACCTATAGTACTTTGTTCCAAGTACTTTTACATAAATTAGCACATTTAATTTTCATAACAATCCTGAGTAATAGGAGCTTAAATTGAACCACATTAAATATTTGACCAACACAAATGGCACTTTTGTATGGTTTCACTTAATATTATTCCCATTTAAAGATGGTGATGTTGAGGCACAGCAAGTTTAAGAATAACTTGCCTAAAGTCACACAGCTATTAGGCAACAGAGCCAGTATTGAAATCCAGGCACTCTGGCTCCAAATTCTGGGCTTTTAATTACTGTTCTGTTGCTACCTTTTGAATTTTATAATCCAGTTGAATTAGTTGATACTCAAACTTTGGCTATTTATGGGCCCAGAAAATCCCTATAGCATCTGAAATTCTCTGGATCTGTGACATATCTAATATGGTATGGAATCCTTTATGCTTTCTCTATCCATACACCTTATCTTATTAGGTCTGCATGTAGTGAGGGTACAAAGCAGATTTCTTTTGAGTTTGTAGAAATCTGAAAGTGGCCATGTATGAGGAGAAGAGATGGCTTTAAATTATTCCAATGGAATATGAATTGTGAGGATTTCATGAAAACTGTATATGGTTGCCCCAGCTAGTAAGCAGGTGGCAGGACTCCAGCCTTAGGCTACTCTAGAAAGAGTGAAGGGATTTCATGAAAACTGTATATGGCTTCTTGGCTTAAATTCTTAATTATTTATGATTAACATGAAAGACTTAGTAGAGGGATGAATTGACACTTTCACATTTGTTCACCCTGGGTGTTCAAGCTCCTTTTGTAAATAAATGAACTTGACTTACTGGGGACAATATTATTCTTGGGAGATTGTAAAAATTCATTCACTTTCTGCAGAACATTGCATTCTTTCACAGGGATGGATAAGGAGGGAAACCAGGAAAATGTTATCCGTAGTGACTGAGAATTATTTTAAGTAGACTTAACAGCTTGATGTCCATGGGTTAAATAAGGAAGAGCAGTTTCTATCCTTTTTCTATCTTTAAAAAAATATATTTTTTATTGATTTCAGACAGGAAGGGAGAGGGAGAGATAGAAACATCAATGATGGGAGAGAATCATTGATGGGCTTCCTTCTGCACGCCCCCTACTGGGGATCGAGCCCACAACCTGGGCATGTGCCCAGATTGGAAATCAAACCATGACCTCCTGGTTAGTAGGTCGATGCTCAGCCACTGAGCCACATTGGCCTGGCATATCCTTTTTCTCTTAAATGTTTGTTTCCCTCAGGTGACATGGAAATGGAAGTGAAGCAACACTGAATCATGTGTGTGTACAGACGTGTGTATAAGTACAGGGTGTTTTTTCATTTACATGTGTCAGTGTGCATGCTTTCCAGGCCTCCTAGAGTAGAGGAAACGGAGTTTCACATGTCAGAAACATGTAACCCGAATTGGTTAAAGAAGAAGAAGAATGGGATCCACAAAAAGGAAGTCATGGTTTAGAGCTGGAGCTTTTGCAGTTTAAAGGGCACCTGTGTCCCCCTTGCTGGCCAGAGGAGGCCAGGACCCCTGGAGGACGAGGACAAGAGTTGGCTGGAAAAGTTCTTTTTTGGAACCAATGCCTACTTTTAGCTAGTTTTTCCTGTTGCCAGAGCTGACATGCAGAGAGGAGGCCAAGAATGGACTGTTGAACTTGGGCCTGTGCCCTAGGGACAGAGGATGAAGGGTCATCAGGGATATTTAGGACATGGACACAGGGCTGGAGAGAAATTTTAAGTCCAGAAAATCTATAGAACTTCTAAACTTTTATTCAGAAATAATTTCATAACTTTTTTTTTAAATCTTGGGAAGACTGTCCAAACCCATTAGAAGAACCTTATGTTGTTAATTAGCTAGTAAAATTATGATTTTCTCTTTTGGATCCAGGGAAGCTAGTGGACTCATCCATTGCTAGCCCAGCAACATCTGCTTGTGGGCAGAGCCTGCATTTTGTCTGACCCTCGATGTTGCCAGGACTTGGGACTTGAGTTCCTCACTGCTCATGATTCACACACACACACACACACACACACACACACACACACACACACGGGGAGAGAGAGAGAGAAAATGAACTCCATGATTTGTCTGAATTCCCTGCTCTTTGGGTATCATTTCTTTGTCATGTCAGCTCCCAGGACTAGGCTAGGGTTCTTTGTCACTTGCTGCCCACTTCCAATCAGTTTCCAAGCGTCTCCCATCCCTGCCCTCATTACCTCCTGCCCAGGTTCATGCAATTGCCTCCCGACAGGTCTTCATGCCCCTTGTAGCAAACTGTTACTCTACCTCCTTCTTGCCATTTTAATATTCCAAAAGTAAAGCTCAGTCCTCTTTCCAGGCTGCTTAAAAGCTTTCAGTGCCTCCCCCAAGCCTACTAAATAATAAATTCCTTGCTGCCATTCAGCATTCAACCCGTCACATTTACTCAGAGCACCCTGCACTTTTCTTTCATAGACCTGGTCACGTTAAAAAATAGATATTGATTTTTTTGGTAATTATTTGATTTTTCTCTCTCCCCCTCAGACTGGAAGGTGGATGGGAGCAGTTGCCCCTGTTTTGCTCATTGGTGTACGCCCAGCCCCTTGCGTGGTATACAGAAGGGTTTTGTCAAGTCAACCTTTCCAACCTCACCTCCTGTCATTCCTGTCCTCCACCTGATCACAGCTCAGCCGGATCAGTTAATGTTTTCTGAACATGCCCCATACTCTCTTACCTTTGGGCTCCTGTTCTTATTGTTCTATTAACACAGCTACCGATGATGGGGGCTGGATTATGTTACAGTAGAAGCCTAGGTTAACGCCCCACAGCCTGTGTGCAAATTTCAACTCTGCCACTTACTATTTATATGATCCTGAGCAAGTCTCCCAGCTCCCGTGAACCTCGGCTTCTCCCTTTAAAGCTGTTCCCCCTTCATGGGGCTGTGTGAGGACCAAGTAAGCCAGTGGGTAGGTGGACGGCCTCAGTACACATTTGGTATTAGCCACTGTTCTTATCCCACAGGCGCTCCTTAGACCAGCTCTGGTTCTCAGGGCAGCCCTGCAAGAAAGGTCGTGGCAGTTCCATTGGAAGGACGCAGAAACGGAGGCTCACAGAGGCTTAGCTGCCCAGCTAGTGAGCAGGTGGCAGGACTCCAGCCTCAGGCTACTCGCACAAACATGGCTTTTTCTGCTGTCTCCCCCCTGGGTCCTCCTGCCTCATTTCCACCCCCAGGAATCACATTTACCCTTCACAGCTCCCCTCAGATGCCACTTTTCCAAGAGGGCTTGTCTGATTCTTTCCTGGTCTGATGTCTTCTCCCATGGGTGCTATTTTTATCATTTATTGTTAATAGTGCACTTAGCGCTCTAGGTTTCTGCAAGTTTGAGGAGCCTTCCCCATGATACTCAGGTTTTGGAGAGCCTTCCTCTCTATTGGCTTCCTATAGATTTACTATCTGACCATATTGTTTTAATTCTTCTTTTTTTTTCTTTTTTTTGTTATTTTTGATAAATTCTAGTATTTATTAAATTATAAATTTTGTAACCAAAAAGAAAACGATCAAGAGAAACTTCAAACTACAAGGACTAGACAGCAAAGTCTATGGGAACGCCATGAATATGTTACAGATAAGAAATTCTTCTTTTATAATAAATAATTTAGTCCAAGTAGACCCCAAAGGCATACCTGGAGACCGGGCATATAAGCTGGCTCCTTCTGGGTCAGATTTTTTTCCTCTTTAGCAAAATGGTTCCTATCCATCAGCCTTTAGCTGGGCATGTGGAGTCTGAAGGTCTCCTGTTAACTGTTCTCTTTTGCCATCTTACCGTAGCATTGCCAACTGCTAAACTGTAAAACCATTTCTCATCGAGCCGTCTTGCACACTTTTCCTCTTTTTTGCTTAGGGACGGACACAGGTGAAGGTAATACAGACTTGTTGGGAACTTACATGCTCAGCACAATGCTTAGTCTTGGTAATGCGTAGCCTTGTCTTCCAGCAGCATTTCGTGGACTCTAGGAGCCAAGCGCTTTATGAACACCGTTGTGTTCATTCTGCCTGAGATGCTGCTGGCTGACCGTTGTACCCTCCCGCATCTCTCATCCTAGGTTTTCACACTCTGCACACGATCCTGGGCGTCCGCTGTCTCCCTTTGCATAACCTGCTGCATTACATTGATAGCGGGGTGCTGCTCCTCACAGAAACGGCTGTCACGAGGCTCATGCAAGGTAAGAGGCTCCGAGGCTCCGCGCTTTCCTGTCTGGGCACCTCCAGGCCTGGCTTCCCGGTGGTGCCACCTGTGTGGCCAGGGCCCAGCAGTACTCGGAAGGGCCCACGCTTACGGTAATGCTTTGCATGACATCTTGAAATTCTTAGTATTGAACAAGGGGCTCCTCATTTTTTTTTGCATCGATCAGTCACCATCAATTATGCAGCTGGCCCTTCTGAGTGCAGTTCATTTCCTGGAACCATCCTTTGGGCTAATTTAAAGTGTCTTCGCCCTTCAGGAGACCCCACATGACTTCTCAGTCCACTCACAGCTATTCGACTCCTTTACTGGACACGAGGGCACTCGAGGACAGGAGCCTCTGAAGGCGTGTTTCTTAAGAAGTCACGGAATGGCTTATTTTCAGCTGATTAACACGATCCTTGCAAAGCCAGACTTGAAATGCCAGAAAAATCAATGAGAAATGCAGTGCTTATATGATTTTGAAGTTTAAATGTGGTCTGTAGTATAACCGCTCTCACCTAACTGATTCAGTTGTGGTATTTTACAGATGAGTTTTGTTCATGTATGTTGAAGTATTTCCCATTCTTCAAGGTACCTTCTGTTTTCAGTTAGTAAAATTGTTTTCTGACTAGCAGCCTGCTCCAGAACCATGTCACATGATATATAGAAACCGTTTCCTTTAAACAACCCTTTTGTTCAGACAGACACAATGCTTAATACAAGGTTGGGAGATGTGTTATCAGGATGAACCGCTGAAGTACCAGCAGCCTGATCAGATATTCAAATGGAGATTTCTGGTTTGTCTGTCACTCTGACTTTCTTGTAGATCTGGACAACACAGAGAAAAATGAGAAACTGAAATTCAGCATCGTTGTGCGGCTTCCTCCGGTAATCCTGAATCCCATTTTATTTTCTCCCTGAGCCTTGGCATGAACCTCCTTCAAGTTCTTCTTGCAAAAGGAGCACTTACTTGATTTGGGCTGAAGTCAGTTGAATTGTTTCACTTTTCAGCTCTTGCCAAGAAACCCCATCCATCCCCACCCTTCGCCGCGGCCGGCTGGGCCTGCGAGGCCCTCGCGCCTCTGGCTCGGCTCTGCCTTGGCACAGCCCACCCCACACACTTAGCCATTTTCTTCTCTTAGGAAACCGCTCTAATATTTACATCTGGGAGTCAGGGGAGGGAGAGGGGAAACATGTGCTTTTGGCTTCTAAACTGATAAGAAATTTAAATACAGGTGAGGTCAGAAGGTCCTGGAACTGAATTTCCTCCTCCTGCGGTTTCCACCAGGGCTGGAAAACATTCCTGGGTGGAAGGAAGAACGAGAAACATGAGGGACCTGAAAGCGTTATGAAGACACTCCTTGTTTTCGTGGGGAATCGTAGCTCTTGGATTTAAAAATACTACGAAAATATGAAATTCCACAGCAAGGTCTTCAGAGCCTCGATTCTGAGAGCTCTGACCCTGGGCGCCAGGGCCAGCCCTGCGTGCTGTTTACATACCTTGAGCCCTTGCATCTCTGGCACGATCCTCCCACGAAGGGGTGTCGTTGCCTTTCTGGATCGAGTCGGCTTGCTTTGTAACACCCGCTCCCCCTTGCAGGCTCACTGAAGCAAAGGCGAGAAGAGAAAACAAAGCATGTTTTCCATGGCTGGATCTCTCAGGGGATTGTCTCTGAACATTTATTTTGGTCTTTAAATGAGATTTTTTTTTTTTGCCTCATATTCTCAGGGAATTAAAATTTCCTGGGCAAGACATTGGCAGAGAATATGCCTATAACCTTTCATTTCCTATCAAAACATCGCTTGGAGTTGGCATGCAGGACCCCAGCTTTGAAGAGTAGCGGATGAACTCCATTTCAGAAAAAGAGTTTGGCAACATCAGTGTATAAACTGCTTTCTCAGGGTTGCATTTGAGGGAGTATTTACTCAAAATTCAGAAGCATACCTCCGAGGAAATGGCCTTTTTCCAAACGTCGTTAAGCATAAAGGGCCTTTTAGACTAACTGGTGACTTTGGAATAATATTTTTAAAATTATGAATAGATTTAAGGTACATTTACTTAATATAGCGTGAGCTATATTCTCCTCTATATGTTTTTCCATCCGTTTATTTTTATAATTGACTTTATTTTCTTTAGAGTAGTTTAGGGTTCACAGCAAAATTGGGTGGGAGGCATAGAGCTTTTCCGTACTCCCCCCACCCCGACACATGCATGGCCTCCCCCCCTTTCAACATCCCCACAGAATGTCCATTTGTTACAATTCCTGAACCTGCATCACAGCATTGTTGAATGCATCCGAATGCATCCGAAGTCCACAGTCAGCATTAGGGTTCACTCTTGGTGGTGTTCATTCTATGAATTTGGCCATCATTATAGTGTCGTACTTGCACTGCCCTAAAAATCCTCCTTGACCTGTTTTTCGATTTGCACCATAGCTCATTGGTCAGAAGATCTGCCGACTTTGGGACCATCCTATGAGTTCTAACATTATTTCCCGGAACCATGTGAGGCGGTTGCTTCAGAACTATAAGAAGCAGGTGAGCCAGTATGAGAGCGCAGCCCCACTAAATGTTTCCTGGATCCTGTTTGCCCATGTCAGCTTACCTATATGGACTGCAATTGTAGTTATTCCACCCCCCCCCCTTTTTTAAAAGTCTGTGCTGGTTTTGGATAATCAACTAACACCAGAAGTGGTTTCCTTTTTAGCCTCAGAGTTCTATGACTGACAAGTCGTCATTCAGTGTGGAATTTCTGCCTCTGAACTACTTCATTGAAACACTGACAGAGATAGAGTCCTCCAACCAAGGTAATTCACTCCTCTGGCCTCCGAGTTTTCCCTTGGCACATCAGTCAGTGCCTATTTACACCCCTGTACCTTTTTCTTTCCAAAATAATAAGTAGGTCCTTACTGCAATTGGTTTTAACTAGTAATACACAACTTACCTGGAGCAAATTACCGAAAGGAATGATCACCTCTGAAATTTTTTTAAAATGTATTTTATTGTTTTTTTTTTTTACAGAGAAGAAGGGAGAGGGAATAGAGTTAGAAACATCGATGAGAGAGAAACATTGATCAGCTGCCTCCTGCACACCCACTACTGGGGCTGTGCCTGCAACCAAGGTACATGCCCTTGACTGGAATCAAACCTGGGACCCTTGAGTCCGCAGGCTGATGCTCTATCCACTGAGCCAAACCGGTTAGGGCACCTCTGAATTTTTAAAAGGGTTTAAGATGTTAAAAACCCATTTGGTTGATGCACATGGCCTTTCTTGGTTCTGAGGTTTAGTAAGTTTTAACAGCCCATTCTCAGGACAATGTGTTTTACTGAAATATAAAATAATTATGATACAAAGAACCGTGGGCACAGCATTACAAATGCCACATAGTTTCATAGTAACTCTTTTCTCTTTCTCTCTCTTTCCAGGCCTGGATGCTTTCATAGGACATGACAACGTGGATGCAAAATTTGTGGAGGAAGCAGCTCTGAAACACACCACAATGCTTTTAGGCTTATAAAAAAGAAAATATATAATTGTGTCAGCTTCCAAGTTTTACTCTTGCTCATTAGCTCTACTTCTACTGAGAATTCTCTAGCAATATTTGAAACTGGTTACCAAAATCAGAATGCATTGTTGAGCCATCTGAACGTTAGTTTGGTACTTGTTCAGACTGAAGTCAACTGCTGTCCCTCATCCCAGTTTTGGACAGCCGATGACAGCCACGTGTGGAGACATGACAGCCAGCCCCGGAGGCAGGCAGTGGTATAAAGGATGCTCTTCCTAGGGGCCACATAGGCCAAAAGCTGGTTTCTGTCGCACTCGGAAATAATCTATGCTTTAAAAATGTAGGGACTAGTGTGTAGAAAAACAAAAACTAGTAAGTGTCATTGAAAATAACATATGACAAGTGGAAAAATTAAATGTATGTGTAAAGAGGATAGCTTTTAAAAAACTGAATTTGGATTAAGTCAAATCTGCTATTTCCAGTATAGAAAAATTTGTAACATACAGCAATTTGTACATACTGTCTATTCAGAGTAAGATTTTACTTTTTGTTATGGTTCAGATGGAACTGTATTTAATGTGTTTAAGCTTTTTTATATTTATAAAAGTTTGATTTAGAAATAACTTATCATTAAAAAACGAAACCAAAAAACACTGTAAGTTTTGGCCTGACTTTTGTTATTTCTGCAAAGACTTTTTAAAAAATATATATATATTTTATTGATTTTTTACAGAGAGGAAGGGAGAGGGATAGAGAGTTAGAAACATCGATCAGCTGCCTCCTGCACACCCCCTACTGGGGATGTGCCCGCAACCAAGGTACATGCCCTTGACCGGAATCGAACCTGGGACTCTTCAGTCCACAGGCCGACGCTCTAGCCACTGAGCCAAACTGGTCAGGGCTTTTTTTCTTTTTCTTTTTTTCTTTTTTCAAGGACTATAGTCCAGCCAGGAATCATGAGTCTATGAACATGTTCCCCTAAAGTCCCCCATGACATCTAACTAGTTCTCCCACTTCCCCCCGCCCCCCTCCCAGTCTACAGTGACTTAATTCTGACCCATGTATACAGTTGCTGCCTGGGGTCAGTCCATGACCCTTTGCTAATTTCTTTTCACATTATTTCCCTCAGTGAACCTGTGAAATTTTAATCATAAATATCACTAGCTGGTATAATAATTCAAGTTCTTTTCTAAAATGATCATTGTATTTTAAAAATTGTCCTCTCCTACAGAATTCCCCTTTTTGGTTAAATACTTCATGGTCACTGAGGCTCAAAATCTTGGAGCCATATGAGCAAGGCAGTGCTGATCTTTTTCTCTTTGTAAGGTCATTATTTTTCATTCCTTACCCTTTTCTTTTCACACCTGGCTTGTGCCGGTCACTTTCTAAGGTCTAATTCAACTGACTTATATTTGAGATAAACACTAGCTCGATCCTGTCCTACTCCTTCAATAACTTGCCATTCATTATAGGATACAATTCAAACTCACATTGGAAATCACAGGATAAAATGCAAACTCCCCCTAATCCCGCTTATACAGTTCCCCAATATGAACATTCTGTTCCAGCCAGGCCCGTTCACTGGGCCTGGAGCACAACTTTTGTCTTTTTACTTCAAAGCCTTGCTCAGGCTATTTCCCCACCTGGGATCCCCTCTTCACCTTTAAAATCTTCTCTGTGAGAAGTTCCTTCTGACTGTGACCTCTGGTCATTCCAGCACACAGTGCCACCTTTCCCCTCTCAAGCAGTAACACACATTATAATATTTAAGTGTCCGTTCCTTTGCGATTTAAATTTTCCCCCCATTCCTATGTTGTTAAGCTTCCAATGTGTATTTTTTGAATCCCTAATGCAATTGCTAATTCCTGCAACACAGGACCTGTGTTTATGCATTTCTTTGTGTGAAACACACGATTTATATGGTTACTTATGGGTACTCCCAAGGAATTGCCTTTCAATAACTTCACAAAGCAATTGGGTTAGATTCAGGACTCGGAGACTGAGAACGACGTTAAATTTTCCTCCAATCTGGCAGGAACAAATTTTGTTTGACTTAGCAAAATAAAGGAATATGGTATTTCTCATCCCCAGAGTTGTGAACTAAAATTCATAACTGATATCAGTATGAAATATAGACTAAGCATATTAATGTTTTATTCATTTCAAACGGGCCGGATTCGGCCCGTGGGCCGTAGTTTGCCCATGGCTGGGTTAGATTCAGGACTTGGAGACTGAGAACGACATTCAATTTTCCTCCAGTCTGGCAGGAACAAATTTTGTTTGATTTAACAAAATAAAGGAATGTGGTATTTCTCATGCCCAGAGTTGTGAACTAAAATTCATAACTGATATCAGTATGAAATAAAGATAGACTAAGCATATTAACAAATATAAAATCACAGGTTTGAAATCTTGTGTATATTCATACATAAGAACATATAAAAACAGAATTAGGAATATACTTGGATGAAATGCAATAAAATTAGAGAAATAAAATCAGGGGAGCTGGCCTCAATTTCAACTCTTTCACATGCCAAGTTATAAATATTTCCATGGAAAATTTCAAAAAATCTGGTATCAAAACTTAAAATAATCATGAGTTTATTTGCATCCAACATTTTGATAAATCTAAATATAAGAAAGATAAGTTAGGGCATAATTATTTTTGCAGCAAAAGGATTATTTACTTGTAAAAAGAATCACCATACCATTATTTTGAAAATGACAAGCTTCCCTCCTGCTTTATACTTGATTTAGATTTAACAACATTAACTTTAAATGCAATCATTTACTTAACAAAGTCATTTAAGTCTCTGAGATACGTGATCATTCTATCTTTTTCTTTAAAGTCAGTATATCGAACAGTATTTCCTTTTTGTCTTTAATAAATAAGGACCACTCAGATAATTTCTGTGCTTCACTGAAAATTATTTTTATTGAATTTTTATAGCACCTGGCCTACTATGTATATCTGAAAGGTTTCAATATATAGAGTGAAAAAGAAAGAAATGAACAATGCAAATATATGCTTTGACATAATTGTAGAACAATTCTATGTCCTACTCCACGTCATATAAAATATAGTAGTTGATGAGTATAAAAGGAAATTATGTTATTTCTGTTGTTGGTTAATTGTGGCTGTTGTATTTGCCTGTAATCTCCTGCTATTATGCTGACATTTTCCAGCTGTGGATATGACAAAGCTTGGCCGAAGTATCTCCTTGAGGAGCCTGAACTGGTTTACACATTCAGATTTCAATTGGCTTTATAACAGGCTTCTTGATGTGCCTCATATTGGACCCTGGTTCACTGGGCTTAAAAGGAGCCAAAGCACCATATGGTTTCGGCAAGGGAAGAGTGGCTTCTGCATCTGGGATGTAGGCAGTCGGACGCAGCTCTGCAGTCGTGAGAACACCATTGGGCAGCTGACGTTGTGTGTCCAAGAATTGCTGCAAAAAATGAAATTTCCTTTTCAGTTTTCTGCAAACTCTGGTGAAGCCACTTCACCCCAGGGCTTATCAGACACAGCTGGGTCTGAGTTGTAGGCTGTGCTGGTTGACATTCCCCCAAGGAGGGTATGAGGGTGAAGTCACCGCACACATGCACACACACACACACACACACACACACACACACACACTCACATACTCATGCACATGTTGCACCTTGCTGGAATGACCCATGTTGCTCAAGCATCACCCTGTTTTGGGGGCTTACGGTTTATCATAAACTGGTTGGTGGGTTCTAACTTTCCGTGTGTTCCAAAAGAACCTCAGTATCTTTGATCAAATACTAAGTATTTCCATGGTTTTGTTGTTGACAGAGGTAGGACAATCTATTCCCTTTGGTAAGTCATTGGTGAACAAATGTTAGAAAGGAAGAGATAAGGCGTCAGGTAGAACCAGAGGGAAGATGTGGTTAGTAGCTTGCCCTGACCCTCAAGGTCCTCAAGTTTCTGCCTGTGCTCCTGGAAAACAGACGACTCTCTTACAGCATGAAAAAGAATTCTAAATAACGGAGACAGGTAAATGATGCTGGGACAAGCTCGGTAAAACCTGAAGGTGCTAGTAAATATAGTTCCAGGCAGTGTGGGGATTACAAATCAGACCCTGTTTTCAGATATTTTTAACTTCTGTTTGGAAGGTGCCTTTTTCTTGGGTTAGTTAGTGAACAATGATCTTTTTGAAGAACCTACTTGACAGCCTGAGAGTGAGTTGTAGGCCCTCAAGACACAGTCTCCTTAGGAAGAGATGCCTAATTCCATTCTACAAATATTGAAAGGCAGAAGAACTGGGTGCCCAATGTGAAGGTGAAACCAGTGATGGACCAGGCCAGTGGCAGGAGAAAAAAGGGTTGGCATTGAGGCCAAGGGTGCACACCAAATGCAGAGTCTGCAAAGGTGTTCTGGAGGCCTCACAACAGACTGATGGCCGCAGCAGGTGGACATGGAAGAGTAAGGTGTGGTCTGAGCAGCGGTGCAAGGACAGAGATAGGAGACCTATGGATACTAGTAAAACCAAAGCCAGCCTCGCCTGGTCACTGCCGTGTCAGTGGGAGTCCATGGTGTTCAGCCACACCAGCCACGATGTAAGATTGTGGAGTGGAACTTGGTGTTTGCCAGATGTTCTCCAGAGAATATTATAGTGCTTTGAACTATTGTACTTTGATTTGTCTACATAATATCTTTTTTTGTTGCTAATCCTCACTCGAGGATATTTTTCCATTGATTTTTCAAAGTGGAAGGGAAGGTAAAGACAGAGAGAAATATCAATGTGAGAGAGAGACACATCGATTGGTTGCTTCCTCCATGCGCCCCAACCGGGGCAAGGGATCAAGCCTGCAACTGAGGTACATGCCTTTGACCAGAATCAAACCCGTGACCTCAGTCTGCGGGCTGAAACTCTAACCACTGAGCAAACCTAGGGCTCTACATAATAATTAAAAAAAAACACCCAAAATTTCTCCTGATTGTTTGAATTGTGTATGGTAGAGTGGGGAGTTTTTCATATATTTTGGGAAGATTGAAATCCTTGAAAACATCCCTTCCCGGCCACTTTACTAGTACAAATGCAATATAAAAGCCTAAGTGTACCTGAGACTTTTCAGCGATGGCCAAGGCATACATTTCTTCATCTCGAAGTACTTTCAACCATTCTCTCTCAATCTCTCTGTTGAGGGGCAGACCCTTTTGCATCCTGGAATTGCAAGAGAAGATGAAGTGTTCTTTCTCCTTGACTTCCTTCTGGAGTTCAATGGTCAGAGCTTGTTTCATGGACAGCTCAGCAACAAGAGCCATCAGTTTTTCAGTAGCATTTTTAATCTTTTTCTGGTAGCCGTTCATCTAGAATTAAAGAACCCAAGGCTTAGCTTATGTATATGTTCCATGAAGAATTTAAGATAATGGCAGGCTGCTGGCTGTCTATAATGTGGGAGACAAATAAGAATTGGATGAGACCTCAGACACCCTAGCTGTGTAAATAATGACGAGGAGGGGAAAAGAAAGACATGTGTTCATCAAGTTACTAGTTGTCCAGGTGGGTAGTAGTGAGGGGAACAGTGAAGTCTCTGTATTTTTAAGAGGTGATAAGGAGAGGGAAATAGAGTGCTCTTTATGTCTGAATTCTGGCTTACTTAGGCCACGTTATTAATTT